TTTTTTTTTTATAGATGCTTGATGTCTTTACCTATCATTTGGTATATTTTTTTTTATAAATCTGACCCTATATCTGTTCACAGTGGGGGAATTTAAAATGACAACTTTTTCACAAAAAATTAACTTTTTCAACTTAACTTTTGAAAATGTTCCGGAAGGTCTGACACTTTTATATATATCTTAAATTAAAGCTAATGTAATATACTTTAATTTGAAAAAAAAAAATTTGACCTCTGGACTTGTCTTCGTGGTGAAAACGGCTACCGAATGCTATTTTTGTGTGAAAATTTTCGATTTTATAATTTACATTTTTTACTTTAAAGTGCTATAACTTTTTAAAAAATGTATGGATCAATACAATTTTTTCATGAGAAGTAGTATTTATATACATCTTTCATTGGATATACTTTTTTTTTAAATCAGACTATTTCCCTATATATGGGGGGGCTTCAAATATAAAAAATGCATATAGAAAGTAGAACTTTTTCAACTTAACTTTTGAAAGTGTTCCGGAAGGTCTGACACTTTTATATATATCTTAAATTAAAGCTAATGTAATATACTTTAATTTGAAAAAAAAAAATTTGACCTCTGGACTTGTCTTCAATGGTGAAAATGGCTACCGAATGCTATTTTTGTGTGAAAATTCTCGATTTTATATTTTACATTTTTAACTTTAAAATGCTATAACTTTATGAAAAATGTATGGATCAATACAATTTTTTCATAAGAAGTAGTATTTATATACATCTTTCATTCGACATACTTTATCTTAATCAGGATATTAATAAAGAAATAGCAGATCATGTAGCTTTTGGAATAATACACCATTTTTTAAAATTAAACACTATCTAAAGATTTGCATCGAAGCGTTTTTTTTTTTTTAGTGATATTAATTACTGTCAGATATCACATTTTTTTTTTAATGTAAATTGAGAACTTAATAAATTAAATTAAAGGAAAATTTTTAATTTAGTTGGTAGTAAATAACCATAACTGAATAATAACAAGTAATTTATAAAAAACTTATTTAAAAAAGTTAATTATTATTAGACAATCAAAATTAATTATTTAAATATACAAGTAAACAGATAGTTCTAGTTTAAATTAGGTGAAAATTCAAAAAAACAGTCAAGAATAAAAATATATTACTTAAAAACTGTTGTTTTTAATAAATAAAATAATTGTCAATTTGAAGAATTTACTTTATTGTCAACAAAATTTTCTCTAAATTTTTACGTTTAGAATTTAACATTTTTTTGTACTTTTCAAGTTCTGTTTTATTCATTCCTTTTGGTAGCTCATCATCATCTAATAATATATCCATTTCTTCAGCTGCTTTGTTGAACCAATTAGAAGTAGATGTTTCTTTTTTAGCTTTTTCTTCTAACAAAGTTATTTCTTGAGCTTGTTTAACACAAGTACTATAATTTCGAAGAATACGCTGTTCTACCTCTAATCTAGGTAACTCTTTACTTCTTTTCATGGTTCTTAAGACATTAAGATAAATGTTTTTTTTATCTGGAGTACATATTACTAAAGATAAACCAGTATTAGAAGCTCTAGCTGTACGACCACTTCGATGAACATAAATTTCAGCAGTTCTGGGTACATCATAATGTATAACATGGTTGACACCAATGATATCCAATCCTCGAGCAGCCACATCAGTAGCTATTAAAAGTCCATGATCATTAGCACGAAATTTGTCTAGATTTTTAAGTCTTTGTTTTTGTATCATATTTGAATGAATAGGTAATGGATTTAATTTAAGAATATTAAAAACACTTGCTAATCTTTTAACACAACTAATACTATTACAAAATACTAAACTTCTTCCAGGATTTTTTTTAAGAAAGTAATATAAGTATGAATCTTTTTCGATAACTGAACAAAATACCTGCATTTCATTAACAGTACTTGTTATACCAAAATTTGTAGTTGTTAAATTAACTATATGAGGATTTTTCATACCTATTAATTCAATCAGTTTATTTAATTTATCTTCAGCAGAAAGGTCTTTCTTTTTTTTCTTATGTTTAATATTTGGACGATATGGAGCTTTATGTACCATAGTTAATGTTGCTGAAAATACAAAATTTTGTCGTTTACTATTTCTTTTTAAATTAATTTTCTCTAACATGAGATGAAGCTCTGGAAAGTGAGCAGTTTCAACCATCCGATCAGCTTCATCAATGACAAAATATTTAATTTTATTAATTTGGCTTAAATGGGGATCATCTTTTTGAATTAATTCCCATAATCGTCCTGGTGTCGCAACAACAATTTCTGGACCTTTTCTTAATAATCGTTCTTGCTTTTCACTTGATAAACCTCCAACAATAGTTGCAACATTAATTTCAGTAAATTTTGTTATGTCTTCAATATGCTTTTGAACTTGCATAGCCAATTCTCGAGTAGGTACAAGTATTACTGCCCACAGCTTTTTGTTACTAACATTTATATTATTTGATGGTAAATTTACAACTGATACACAGCCCAAACCATTTTTATCGAGTTCCATTATTTCAGGCATATTTTCAACATCACCTGAACTTTCATCAGAATCTGAACTTTCAGACTCACATTCATTTTGAGATTTTGCATTTAGAATACCATTCAAAATTGGGATGCCAAATGCAAGTGTTTTCCCACTGCCTGTTTCAGCAGCTCCAAGTATATCTCTATAATCATTAATGGCCGGTGGAATACTTTCAGACTGAATTTTTGTAGGTTTTATGAAATTCTTTAATTTAATGGCATTTAAAATTTCTGTACGAATATTAAGCGGTTTCCATTCACTAAAATTCATAATAACTAAAACAAAACAAATAATCAAACTACAACACTAAAATTCGTCAAGTGAAACTTACCAATAGTATTGTATTACAGTTATTGTTTTAAAAATGCAGTAATATTTAACCTGTAGTAACATGAGATTTTTAAAATAATTCAAGAAATTTCTCAAATATTTCATTTGAGACAAATGTGAACAAAATTATTTTTCAAAAAATGATAGTAATGCTATCAACAATAAATGTTATCAACATCTACACACGTGAGTGATGTTTAAGGTTATGGTTAATAACTTTAAACCTAGACTGGGTCACGAGTCATATTCCAAAATTTTTATGTAAATTGATGGTATGCAGAAAATTGTCAAAACAATTTAAATATTAGTATGACAATTTGGTAAACCATACTGAATCTCATATTTTCAAAAAATTATTTTTTTAAATATATTTATTTTTTAATAATTATTTAATTGTAGTTAAACAGTATAACATATATAAACATCAGATTACATTTTGGAAAAATATTTTATCAATGATACCATTGGTAAATATAATTTTTTAAACTTATACTTTTTTGACTTGGCATATTTTTAGACAGCCATCATTGATCATAATCTTTCATTATAAGATACAATACTTCCTTATTATTAATGTTCTATTAATGAGTAATTTTAAATCTATGATTTTAGAAAATTAAAATTAAATATAACACCATTCAAAGTTTTATTACCGAGAATAATATTGTTCTCGATTATATTTTGTACTTCAGTAGATAATATTCTATGTAAATTTTAAGATCTGTTCTTATAAGTTTATTTTAACAGTTTCATAATCATTTATGATTGTTCTACGATTTTTTTTGTAAAACTGCCCACTTAATTGATCGACATAGTAATGTTGGAACTTAATTGAAATATTTTCTTCAACAAAACCTTCATCTTTAAGCTCTTGTGTAAATTTATCAAAAAATATTTGATACGCGTTTTTATCGGAATCTTCTTCGGACTTGAATCCTTTTATGATATGTTCTTCAGCTAATACAACAGTTTGGTTCTGACAATTTTCTTTAAAATTAATCTTATTAACTAACATGCTGTCTTGTGTATTTTCTTTGCTAGTAATGGACAATGTTTCAATTATCGCATTATTTTCCGCAGGCATTACAAGAGACGTCGACTTAACAATATCTAACTCGTTATTTTTTGTTTCATCTGTGTATTGACTGAAAAGAAAATTTAATTTTTCCATTATTAAAGAACTTTAATCATAAAGTAATAGTATATTTACATATACATATACTATTCTAAATAAAAATACTAAAATATTGTAATTTTATAAGTTATAAAAGGTCTCTTGGTTTCCGAGGAGAATTATTAGCTATAAATTGTTATTATATACCATTAATGTGTTCTACATTAGAAATATTCTTATATTTATTGTAAGTTAATTATGTTTATGTTTATCTAATAACGTTAACTTATATAAGCCGCCGTATTTAGGGAGTTTTTACTTATTGACTTGCTACAAAATAAATAGAAATCGTACTTCCTAAAAGTTTTTCTATTAATTTATGATTTAAAATTGTCAATAGCTTTGAAAACAATTATGTATAGTTACACAAAATTAAACGAAATTTCTTTTTAATAAACAATTATTATAAATAATTAGGGCCTTGATGTGGCGCAGTGGATCATTCTGTCGTCACCTAAGCTCTGATTTTGAGCTGCACTGTTTGCTGTTGGTTCCCAGATGGGTGACCATACGGGAACTTTAAAAGTGGCACGTACCATGCCCCATACTAGTTCCCTCTGCCCTAATGATGTCGCGTCAGGCGACAGCCAGTGCAAAATTACATCAAAGGTAGAGCCGATCACAAGTAATTGGGACAGAGGCTATGGTGATGACAAATTAATATAATTAATTACAAATGTACAATCATAAATTTGTATAAACAACTAGAATTTCATTAATGGCATTTCAACAAAATAAAAAAAGACACTAAGTAGTTATAAAAACAAAATTATATTACCATAAATTTTAAGAACAGTAATGGTTTTTTTTTTTAATTCAAAAAAATAATAATTTTATATAAATCGAAATATAAAGAACATTAAATAAAAAAGCATAACAAAAATTAAAATCAATCAACATTTAAAAATAATATAAGTACCATCATCCAACAACAAATAATTTCTTAAAGAATCAATAGTAATTTATAGATGTGATTTTAAAATTAACGTGCAAAAACTTTTTCTAAATGTTTTGATAGACAAATGAATTCTAAACGTACTTTCAGATTTTATTTTGGTCGTTTTTAAAAAAGTTTGCGTATCTGAAAAACATTCGAACATTTTTCTTCATCAGAAAATTGTCCCAAAGAAAGTTTTTATTTGATTTTGGAGCGTTTTTACCAGGCGTAGAAATTACAGTAACACTGATATAGGAGTTTCCGATGCCATATTTTCTTCCAACAGAAGACACTCGCTAGTAATTTCATAATTATCAGTCAAATTATTAAATTCGCGGTGATCAATGACATGGGTTCCATTATTTTTCCATACTGGAACCTTAGTACGGAACAATAGCACAACTTGACTGCGATTAGGAATTGTGATCACTATGGTCAATGACATCATTCGATGTCGAGTTAACAGATTCACATTCGACAACGGAACTCTGTACGGGAATCTCCGGTTCTTCTGTAATTGTTGGCAGTCCAGTGCATAAATGAAAGACCCTCCCCCCCCCCTTCGGTTTATAGTGCGTTTTAATGGACGCCGTATTGTTAAACAGCGCTTGGCGAGGACACTGAATAATAGTCGCCAATNTAAACAGAGCTTGGCGAGGACACTGAATAATAGTCGCCAATCACTGTGCTAATAGACTGCCAACGCAATGTTTTTAATTCTGAGGTGTTCTACGTCAATAATTGGATACTGCAGCTGTCTCGTGTTATCGAATTGCACATTCGAGGCGCTCCGAGTTCACTTATCACTAATCTTATCTCATATGATTTATAATTAGTCGCTCGAATTTCAGCAACAGCTAATTATTTTTCATAGTAATCAATAGGCCCTTCTATCACGTCTATTTGCCAATTTTCCGTCAAATGTCCAGGCAAATTTGACACTTCATCGTACCAACTTTGATTGTACACTTGTTCCGACAAATGAATCCATTTCAGACTTGGAATTTCGCGGCATGCTTCAAGTTCGGCCAAAAGAAGTGCCATTTCGTCAGATTCTTTTTCTGCAGCCTTAAGTTCTGCTTGAACCAATTTCATTTCATATTATTCGGTGAAAGCCGCCGCCGAATCAAATCGCATGTTTTTAGCGTTAAATCCAATGGATTTTTGAAATGTATTGGTTTTGTCCGGAATTAATGAGATTCTTTCGGTCCTCATCAACGTATTTTAGTTAAACTTTTTTTTGTGGAATTAATATAAAAATTCAAAGAAAATTATAGGAAATAATTGTGTAGTCGCAGAAAACTCAAGTACTAACTAAAAAAACATTTCTTTCATCAATAGGGAAATAATTTACCAGTTAAAATTTTACTTAGTTACAGTAGTTTATTATTGCTAACTAAGTAATTAAATTTATAAGCTAAATACTGAAACAAATAATTTTAAAATTTAATTATAAAACATAATGGTTTTTATGTTTAATGTTGTATAAGTATTAATAATATCGCTATGCGCAACGAATAAGACAGTAATTCAAAAAAATCCATTTTGAGATTATGAGGCATTTGTATTTAGGTTTTACCTTCTTACAATAACTTTAATTAAATATTGACAATTTGGATTGAATCGTAATTAAAGTATTAAAAACATTTACGAACATATAACGGTTAATTTTTATTTTTAATATCCTAAAAAAAGAAAAAAATTGAGTTACTGCCTTATTTGTTGCACATATCGATATAATAAGTAGATTTAATATACGGAATTTGACGGATATCTTTCACTCATTTTTAAATGAAGAAAAAATGAATAATATTTTTTTTACCGAAAATATTATTAAATTAATATTACCTAATATAAAATAAAAACTGAAATATTTCTACAATAAAAAATTGTAATTTTTGTGGAAGATATTTGAATGAGTAAAATATGACGTTTTAAATTATATAATTTAAAACTTGTCATTTAACTTATTATATACACAAAATATATTGGTGTCTTTCGTTGGTTGGTATTAATACGGTTCTGATAACAATCATTTAAATATCTATAACTTATTTCCTTTCTCTAATAACGTACGGCTAATAAATTATGATTTACAATTTAGTTTTGATTATAATAGAAGATAATATTAATAGATATTTTAAGACGTTTTTGGACGTCCTAACGAGGATAGAATTTTTCTTATGCAATAATAATATTATGATGAGTTATTTTTTTCAGGGATAAGTAAAAAAAATATTTTATTCATAATGCCTCAAAGGCATAAATATAAGAACGCCCCACTGCTAATAATTCACATAGTATAGTATGCTATGTATTAGTATAATATTTGCACTTATTTATAAATTGCAAATATGCAATTTGAATATAAATGCAAGTGTAAGTTTTAAGTGTATTACTTTATACAATTTGTAGCTAATAATTATTCTTATTCGAATAAAGTTAATGTATTTTATTGGAAACTATTTTTAGAAATACCCATAATAGTGACAAGGCCTATCCTAGAATTACTTTTTAGGGACATGCGGAGTGAATTTTTCCGTCTAAAATACCTTAATGATTGAACATTTCCACAATATATTCTAAAAAAATGCCGATCATTACTATCGTTAATGTGGATGAGTGGCCCCCATGATCCCCTATGAAATCGGTCCTGAATAGAGACTGTTCAAAATCAGTAGTCTTCAAATAAATCTCACGAAAGAGTTTATAAGATCATAATATCGTTTAGTCGTCAAAACAGAAGACATCACCTTACTTAATTCATTTAGTTCTTTTTTTTTTTTTTCAAAATCGTACCGAAGATAATTTTTCTACAATTAAGAGCACAAAACAAAATTAGTCTAGTCGCAGTAACCAATTATTACTCGAGGATATAACATTTTTACAAACAGTTGTTATGCAGCTATTTGTGTATAATCTTTAAATACTACTGTAATACATTTGAAATTTGTAGGTGGGTGGATAGGTTTTAGGAAAGCGATGAAACATCTATGATATTGAGTAGAGAGTATTACTCGTGACTTGTGAATATTTCGTTATGACTTCTATTACAGTAACACTGATGCGAGTAGATTAGATAGAGTAGATGAGTTACCTCCGAAGGGTTGCAATAGCTGCTTGTGCATATTATTACGCTGGCCGGGGGGATCGACGACCACTTGCTGGGACGCGTATTAATATATATATAGCACATTGTATAAGTGAAGCGCACGTGTTTTGACGCCATCGCTGGCACGCGTCGCTGTTTGTAGTCCACAAGTCGTCGAGATTTATTTTTATATCGCTGACCGGCCTGCCGGTGTGCGTGTATCTACTGTACCTACACATTGTGTTCTTTTGAGTGTATATATACCCGAAGACGTTAGCTCGTTGTCGACACTCCAGTTGCAATATCCTGCAGTGTATCTGCAGTAGAGCAGCCCTGCCAGTACGAGAAGGCCGACTCTTATAATAATTTGTCCGTTTTCAAACTACTGCCACTGTACAAATGTCCGAGATGCAACAGCCGTTTGGATATTAGACAAGATGAGCAGCACTGAAGGCGGTGAAATGATGACGGAAATCTGCGGCATTTTTCGTTTTTACAGCTTACAGTAACTGGTAAGAAAATATTAAATTTAAGTATTGCTGAATTATTTTTACTAAAGTTGTATTTAAATTAATTAACAATTAACTAAGTGTTGTGTTGTAGCGCTAAACGATTGCACCTAGGCTTGTTTATTTAAGAATAAATTGGTTGATAAACAGTAGGTAATGAGTTGTAACTACAACCTGTCAATGTCTGTCTGTTCCTTATCGACTGGCTACGTCCACCCGTCTCCTTTTTGATGAAGTCTCCCGTTACCAATGGAAAACCCAGAAAAATATTTTTTCGTTTTGAATAGAGTATGTCTATATTTATCGTAACAACCAATACGCGATATTTTCGTTAACGTATTCCTTATTGAGCATTATTACATATTTTTTTTAATTAAAATAAAAAAGTTTTGTTGTTTTTGAATTAAATATTTTTTAATGTAAATTAATGTTTTAATTATATTTTCAATTTAAAATAATATTAGTCACAAGTGACACAAGTTTTAATAACTTTAGAGCAATGATATTACAAATCAATTATTTTTGTTGTGAAATAAACAAAAATAAGCTTTTAACTAAGAAATAATAATACCACAATAATTTAACAGTAAAATATATCAATGGTTAAGAAACGTCATCCTTTGGTGGCCGCTATGTCCTTTAATGGGCATAAAAAAAATTCTAAAAAAACATGTAGAATTTTTTGAAATATCTTATGTCAAATTTCATCTTTGCTAATTGATATTAAAAAATGTTTGAATTTTCAAATTAATACTTTACATAAATTTTTATTTTTATTGTATATGAATAATTGTAGTACTAAAAAAAACGGTTTATTTATGCCTCAAGTAGTTTTTCATTAAGTACATTCCAAGGGTTACGCTCCTGAATTCCATAATGTATTGAAATATAGGGGTTATTTGGATGTTTTAAGGAAATCTTATTATTAGAGGAAATTATTTTAATGATTCTCGTATAACGATGAGTATCACAACTTAGCTTTGATAACAAGCTCAACTGAAATAAAAAAAACTTAAGATGCTAAATTTTTTCTCCACTCTAATAATACATAAATAATTTTTTTTACAAACACATTTATATAAGTACATATTAATTAATAAATTTATACATATATTTATAATATATACTGTATTTTTGTATAACAATATTTATTAATTTCTAAATTTGTAGGAGACTTAGCTCTCCTAGTTGCGCCTATAATAGCGATTGTAAATACTTATAGTTTGTTTACACTGAACTATTATAAAAACATCAAATCAACGTGCCAAAAAGGTCTATAAAAATCTTTTACTTTTTATTTCTAACGTACCATTGCGCAGTATGTCGTAAACTAATGCAAAAATAGATTCAACAAATTAATTGCGATATTATATGTAAAACTGTATTGACATATAACTTCATCGATACATAACTAGTAAATAGTTAGATTTCATTTGAGTAAATATAAAATTTTAATTAAGAGTACCATCTAACATGTCTTGTTAATGTCTCTTTAATTTTCAAGGCTTTTAAAATTTTTTAATAAATTTAGATATGTGTGGGTAGTGAAGTGTATTCAGATAATTTAAAAGGTTATTCAATCTTAATATTTATGTAAAAAAGTTATTCTTTTATGTTGATAAAAAAATAAGGACTCTTTAAAAATATGTTTGTATTAAGCTTCGAGATTATAGCGGCAGGTTTGCTATAACAAACATATTTGTGTCAAAAAATTTCATTTTTATAAAAAAAACTTAAAAATTTTAGTCCAACATATTTTCTTATTTGTGCCTTTGATTATTATTATTATTATTTTTTATAGTCTTTATTAAAATAATATTTAGCTCAATAAGTGCCTTTGATTAAATTGTACAAAAAAACTTTATGGTTTTTAAAAAGTATATAAATTGCAAATTGAGTAGATATTGTATATCGTATGAAAAATAAGAGTTTTTTTGATTGAAGATAATTTATCAATTAATATGTATTTAGGAAAATAAAATATTTATATTAAGGATGTTTTCTGAAATAATTCAAGGCAATGAATTGAGGGTATTATAGTAATAACAGTAGAAAAAGTCTAATGGGGCAACATTTTTTATTGGGGATAAACACTGAGGGATTATACAATCGCTTTTCCTTTATTTATTAATGAAACATTTCAATGAACTTTACATATCTTGGGCTCCTAAATAATTTATAAATAATACAAATAATTTTCCGTAATAAAACGTATACAATCTAGTGTTAACAAACAAAATGATACAATTGAAATTTTTAACTTTTCATCTGTTATTATTGAAATATAGAATTTTTTCAATATTCAAGTAAACAACTTTCAACTTATTTAATAATATGATAATTACATTCAAATCATCAATTAAATATTAATAATTTTAAACGTAGAACACCAGCGTTTAAATTTGAACGACAAAAAATATAGTTTTCTGTCAATATATTTTACATTACATTGTGTATAATTTCATTTTTGTATGTTAATTGTCATCATAAGTAGTCAAGTTGTTTAGATCTTGTGTACGCAATTTGTGTTCCGATACTTAAGTAATATGGTAGTGACAGTAATGATAATTATATGCTACTTCATATCTGTGCACAATATTGAAATACCCATATGATTTTTGTTTTTTATAGGATATTGAAATAATGAAAATTAGTTAGTTACATATGGTTAATATCACTATTGTGAATGGGCTCTATTGCAGCTGGGTAATGAAAACGCTCGTGTTGGTTCTTAGACCATGTTTATGTAATCACAGTATCATTTGACACATCTTCTATCTTATTAAAATTACGCTACTGAAGAGGTCTCTATAAATAATCTGCGCACTATTATTTCTATGCATCGTGGCAAGGAACTAAATATATGTTACTTTGCTGCCGTTGCGGTCTTCTTCGTGGTCGCTCTTTCTGCATTTACTTCGACATTGCTTACGCCCATTACGTGCACATTAGGTATTATATCGGTAATGTGTGGCATTTTACAGTGTATTTCCAGACCCAGAAAAAAACCCTTTGCTGCATACAGGAATTGTTACGAAAATAAATCACTAAATATAGTGAAACGGAAGGAGGGAGGAAATGTCACCTGCCATCGTCACGAGCACACATGCTAGATTCTAAATAAAAAACATTAATTACTTTTTGCCGCTTACTTATTACACAGTTACACTCGGTAAAACGTTTATATGAAAATGATTTGAATAGTAATAAATTTTACTCCAACACCTGAAAAATCGTGTTAAATATTGCACAATGATTGTACATCAGTCAATTATAAATATTCTGAACTTTTTTTATGACATTTTAAACAAATATTTAAATATCTAATTGTCAGCCTCATGCTTTTGAATACTTATAAAATATAATTATCAAGGGTTGGAAAATAACTATATAAATCAAGAAATCACTATAAACAAATATATACTAAAAATTCAATAGTTTTGTAAACAATACAATGATTGTACTGTTTTAAACTTTAATATTAGTAGCAAAATTATTTCAACATTTTTTCTATTTACAGAAATACCACTTTCTGATGACTTCAGCGATAAAAACATCAATCCATGGGTGACGAACTTTATAATCTTACACAATTAGCTGAAGTCAGTATTGTGTATTTCAAAAACCATACTAATTTAATTAAAAATGAAAAATATGAAGAAGTAATAATTCCTTTATCGTCTTTTATTAAAATTAATAGAAGATTTATTGTTTTAATTTTATTAAACTAGAAAAATACTGAAAATATTCAAATAAAAAAAAATAATAACAAAGAACGACAGTGTCCAGATTGTGGGAAATGTTACAGCACATCCAGTAACTTAGCTAGACACCGACAAACTCACCGATCGCTCGCTGATACAAAGGCTCGACATTGTCCACATTGCAATAAAGTATAAACAATTTAATTTGTATTTAAACAATTTGTTATTTCTTAAATATAAATTTACCCTATCATTATTATAGGTTTATGTATCAATACCAGCATTTTCAATGCACATGAGAACCCATAGTCAGTCTTGCAAATGTCATTACTGTGGTAAATGTTTTTCCAGACCATGGTTATTACAAGGTCATATCCGAACTCACACTGGTATACATATTAAAATATTGTTTTTAATATTATTCTATGATTATCGGTGGCGTACATCAGAAGGGTTTCGTGTTCCAACCCCTCCTCAGAGCCACAAATTTTTTTTAATGGTTTATTTAATATTATATGATTGATTGTTACACTCTTAAATTTAAGTAATAATTTTATATTATTAAGTGTTATTATATAATAACATTAATATACTGTGTGATTTATTAAGGACTCTAACCCTATTTTTTCGTTAAATAATGATTTTTTTTTATAAAAATGTTTATTTATTTTTATGAATCCAAGTAAATATCAAGTTTATTGTAAAAAGAATAATTTTAGAAGTTAAATTAAATAAGGGTAACTTTTTAAACTTAAATGTGAACCTTTTGAATTAATATAATTTAAGTAATATACGAGAGGGGTGCACATCATTGAATTCTTAACTGTACGTTATATAAAATTGAGCATCGCTAAACACTACATAGTTTTTTATCTTTTCTAAATCTTTAAATGCTAATAATAAAAATAACATTACAAAACTAGTTATCAACCAGTCAAAATTAAAATTTATACTATATAAGAAAAATTGTTGTGTGAATAATTTTTTTGACAGATCAAATTTGAATGTACGCCACAGATGGTTATCGATAAGTAATTTAACTAACAGTTTATATAACTTGATTTTTGTATAATAATCAATAATTATTGGTATTTAACTACATAATTATTATGTATCAATCATAAATAAATGATTAAAATATACTGCGAGAAAAATAGTTTGAAGTTCAATAGGGTAAAATAAAATGTCGTACAAGGTGTATTCATAAAATAACAGGAATTTTAGTTTTTTGAAAAAAAAACATTAATGATGTTGCTTTCAAAGAAGTCCCCATTAGATATTATGCAATTGTGACAACGCTTCTTTTAATCCTCGAAACACTTCTCAAACTCGATCTTTAGGATAGCCTTCAGCTCGTTCAGCGATTCGCTTTTAATGTTATCTATGCTTGTAAAACAACGGGCCTTTAAGGTTCTCTTTATTTTTGGAAATAGAAAATGTCACACGGAGCCATGTTTGGCGAATATGGAGGCTGGGGAATCGCTACAGCATTGGTTTTGGCCAAAAATTGCAATGAAGTCTGAGCTGGTTCATCATCGTGGTGCAAAAATCCTGAATTGTTTTGCCATTAATTCGGGCATGTCGGATTATTTATGCAAACGGCGTTGAACTTGTAGGTAGTACTCCTCATTGACCGTTTGACCTCGTGTCAAAAATTAATAATGCACTATGCTATTAAAATCGAAGAACACAGTGAGCATAACCTTCAAATTCGATCTCGCTTGTCGAGCCTTTGTTTTTCGTCTAGGCGATCCAGAATGCCTACACTGGGTCGATTGAGTCTTAGATTCGACGTCGTATCCATTAACCCATGTTTCGTTACCTCTTATAACACGTTTCAGTAATGCTGCATCGCCGTTGACTTCATTAAGTGACTCCTGAACAATTTCCATTTGCCGCTGTTTTTGTTCAAAATTCAACAATTTTGGANACTTCCATTTGCCGCCGCTGTTTTTGTTCAAAATTCAACAATTTTGGAATAAATTCTACTACTATGTGTTTCATACCCAAAACATTCGAAAACATTTCATGGCATGAGCCAATCGATATTTCAAAATCATCAGCGACTTCNATTTCCATTTGCCGCTGTTTTTGTTCAAAATTCAACAATTTTGGAACAAATTCTGCTACTATGTGTTTCATACCCAAAACATTCGAAAACATTTCATGGCATGAGCCAATCGATATTTCAAAATCATCAGCGACTTCTCTGATTGTGATTCGGCGATCATTCATAACCGTTTCTTTCTCTTTTTCCGAGTTTTCATCCGTTGTTGATGTGCTGGGGCGTTCATCATCTTGGCAACGCTTATACCAGTCGTAAACCCTCGTTTTACTCATATACACTTTGTTACATTTGATTTCATTTTTTACGCAAAATTTTATACAAATCCTCTTTAATCAATTTTTTTTTAACAAACAAAAATCGTTGAGCTCATAAAAACACGTCTTACATTAGGGGTTGCCACTTACAAAATAAAAAATATATCTAGCTGAAAATTTGATCATACTTTATCATTTCTACCAACATCATGAATTTTTTTTTTATGATTGAACTCTTCAAACCCCAGAAATTTAAAAATTCCCGTTATTTTCTGAACACACCCCGCACATACTAAAACACTTTTTTTTAATTTAATTTTTATATTATACATAATAGTACTTTTGTAAAACTGATTATTGATAATATATCTGTACCTGGTGTTAATTATTCAAAAAATATTTTGTTTTACTTTAGAAGAGTATTGTTAAGTTAAATGTACAATAAAACTGTTTTATGTATNCTTTAGAAGAGTATTGTTAAGTTAAATGTACAATAAAACTGTTTTATGTATGCTTAATCACACCTAACTATCAGATGTATTATATCAAATAATTATAATTTAAAAAAATAATATGGTTTTTATAAAAAGAACTCTTATTAAAAAAAAAAATTAACCATCAAATGGAATGACTAAAATTTTTAATATCAAAAAGTTATTTCAATAAAAAAAATATGTAGTTATGAGGTATAGCCATTGAATTAACAATAATTGATATTTTAATACGTTTGTAAATTAACATTTAAATGTATAAATTTCAGTTTTTGTTATACATTATGTTAATTTAATTTAGGAGAAAAACCTTATGAGTGTGATAAATGTTGTAAAGCATTTGCTGATAAATCTAATTTACGTGCTCATTTGCAAACACATTCTTCAGAAAAACCACATATTTGTCAAAAATGTGGTAAAGCCTTTGCTCTCAAATCATATTTGTACAAGCACGAAGAGTCAGCCTGTGGCAAAATGACATTAAATAATAATGATTAGAATTACAATATTTTTATGACAGAAAATTTACTTAAATATTTGTTATATATTACTTATTTATAGAACTAAATACATAGGATAAGTTATGTATTTTTAAATGTTAAGTTTGAATTTTTTTAAACAACACTTTTTAATTAACTGGCATACGAGGTTCATGAGATTATTAATATTTTTATTTTTATATAGTTGTGATTATTTTAATTTAATCATAATAAAAATTCAATTATAACTTAAATAAATTCTATTATTTTTATCAATGAAAAAATATGCAAAAACTAAGTTATTATTTAAAATTTAGTTATTATATTTAAAAAAAATAATGAATATTATTTATATTAACTGATAATCTTATTTTGTAAAAATAAAAAGAGAAAAAATTTAATTATTTTAATCATAATTGATAAATATGTGTAAAAATGTACAAAATTATTTTATTCATAAAATAAGTATGTTAAGTAATTTTTTCCATAAATTATTAGAATATAGTTACATTCTAAGTAGGTAATAATATTTTTGTAATTAAACATTTTAAATCAAATATTTTATTAATATGTTTAAAATTTTAAACAATTTACATGTAGGTTATAAGTAAAAATATAAAAGGACGAGTGCTACTAGTCACAATTATTATTTACCAATTTTTTTATGCAACAGTTTGTTGGACAAAAATTATTTATTTGTATAAATACTATAATACTCAAGTTTTTGTATGTATAAATTTTTAATTTTAAAAAATATACTTAAGATTTAAAAGCATTTGAAAAATATATTTTCATACATTTATTATCGTACAAAAACTATATTTTATTTGTATTGTGTATCACAGACATAAAGAACTCATTAAATCAGAAATAACTAGTAAATATTTTCAAAATAGAAAAATAAACATTGTACTCATAGTTATTGAAAAACATACTTGAAGGAGTTAAATGAAAATACAAGTATATTTTTTTAACAAAAAAGATTATAAGCAAGAATTTACAATTAGGTTTTCTCTTCCATTATTAATAAATAAATAGACAGTAACTTTTATGTGTACATTCCATTTGAACCTTACAAATAACAAAATACTTATTCATTTTTAATAGTATAAATTTTCAAAGGTCGTTCTTTTGGTTGAGTTTTGCGGCCTTTAGTAAGTGTAAGATCTCGATTACAAGAGGTTCCATTTCTAAAAATTAATAAACATTTATGACGAAATTAAATTAAAATAATAAAATTACAGTGAATAAAAACATATATATTTATTTATATTATACAGTATAACAGAATCAAGCATTATGCATTTATCATAAATTTTCATTCGAGCTGTATGGTCTTGTGATAACAAAAATAATTAAATTTAAAAACTAGGAAAGCATTGTATGTATATTTACCGACAAAACAAAATAGTGTTATCATCAGATAAACTAAATGACCAGTTTGTAATTCTAGTTTTCCATACAATATCATTTAAGTTTCCATGCATATAACCCAGTTCTAGTTGATCCTCGGAAATACTGAGTTTTTTTGAGATCTTTAAAAATATATATACTTAGTAAAAGGTAAAGATATAATTTTTAAAACATACTTCACTTGCTAATTGTGTATTAGCTGATATTGTAGATGCTATATCAACAACAAATTCCATTTCTGACATTAGACGCTGCTGTGTTCCATTCTCTTCAACATGGTTAACAAACATAAGTCTCTTTGTTTTACCCAATTCTAATTCAGTACGATCTATAAGATCTAAAATTATCATTTCCCACCCTTGTCCAATGTCTTCATTCCAAATTTCTTCATTAAAATAACAGCGTAATAATGCATCTCCTTTTTTCTTACGCAATCGACACCTAGTGTAATTTAGTTTTTACTCAAAGATAACCATACATTAATTTATTTATTTATAATTACCTTTCTAAGGGTATTTCTATATTTTTAGTTTTCTTTAATACGGCAAGCAGTTCTTTTTTAGTATCTATTACAGAAGTACCAACAGTGATAACCCAATCAAACATTTTTTTCATAACAACCTAAAGAGAATTTTTTTTTAATACTTATATAGTTTAATTAAGGAGTAACTCGGAGTTTTTTTTTTTAAATTAGAAGAATAAATATTAAAAAGTAAAATCACCATTCAATAACTCATATGATGTAGACAAAAAAGATCTATATACTTTTCTATTAACATTTAATAATAAGTTTTTATTATTTTAATACTATGTTAAAGGGGCAATTTTTAAGTTTTAAATATAAAATAGATAAAACACTCAGTTTAATTTTGCTAGAAATATTCCATACAACAGGCAAAAAATGAAATTTTATTCTGTTTTGTTAAGTTTTAAAGAATTTTTTGTCTTAAACTATTATGATTATAATTTATATATAACAAAAAAAATTAAATTATAAAATAGATCTTGATTGAGTTCATAGTATACCTAAACATTCATAAATGTAACAGTTATGCTGTACTCACTCTAGTTTCTTCAACAGTTTCTGGCAAGAAAACGCTTCCACGATACTCGCCATCTCTTAATGCTTGTCCAACTGTAATTTGTATTATGTCAGAATTATTCAAATCTTCTAATGAGCTGCTAGGCAATGCTAACTCTTCTAGAGATGAATCAGAATTGAAACGGTTAAGAATAAAATATTCAGATTGTATTTTAATTAAGGGAACTAAATTATCTTTAAGTTCTTTAACTGTCATACGTTTATCCACATAGGCATACAAATGATCTACAAAATAGTTAATTATATAGTATAAGACTATCATAGTAATCAAGTTAAAAAATTTTCATTTACTGTCATGTGATACATCTTGGGGTAAAGCTGTAACTTTGAAATAGTATTTCTCATTCAATTGATACTCATTTTCATCATCATCATCTTCAGTTCCATCCCAATTTTCATCTAGTTTATTATGTTCATAAACCTACATAAATTTATAAAAAATTAAATAACTTTTGATAGTAATAAATAACAAACAAAAATTAATTAATACTAGTTTTGAGAAATATGTACACACCTTTATTGAATCATGTTCAAAGGCATGAGAACCTATTTGAAATTCTTCAACTTCATCACCTTTTATTGTCCTAAGCAATAATAAAATTGGTTTTATTTTAAGTAAAAAATCATAATTTTAATATTTTAATGTATTATTAATTAGTAAAAATTACCTTTCGCTATCAGTAATACTACTATCTTCACTTTGATCACCACTTCCATTACCATTTGGAACAACACACATTTCTTCAGGATTCGTCACTAAATTATTTTCATCAGTGGGTAATTCACAATCTACAAGTAAATAATTAAAATCAAGTTAAGATATTTTAAAAACAATTATAATACAACTTTACCTTCTAGAATATCACCATTTTGTTTGTTTATTGAATAAATTGATGTAGCTTTAGCATGCTCATTAAAAGTATTATTCTTATAATTCATCATTAATTTATTTAATATTTCTAAAATTAGTTAAAAAAGAATAGTTTTACTTAAGAGAAAAAAAGTTGTTAAAATAATTTAAATGGACAAAAATTAATTTACCAGTATCTCTAGCAGGTAAAACAAAGTCTAGTAAAATGGTATTATTGTAGCGTGCTATAGTACTCTTAATTTTTTGCGTGATGGTAGCTTGACTTACATTACGATGATCAATGAATACAAAAACCTAATTAAAATAAATTTCACAATAAAAATTATTAAATAAAAATCATTTTACTTTGATTAAACATACATGACTATGAAAAACTGATGAACATGCAATGTAATTTTCTAATTTCATCGGTTTCGCAGAGCTTTGTTTTATAAAATGTAAGTTAGCTTCTTTCGATATGTTATATTTTGTACACAATAAATTACCGAGATCTGAAAGTTGTTTATTACGTTCAATTTCAATTTTAATGAGTTGATTTGTATCTACCACTTCTTCATTATCAACAAAATTGATCAAGAAAAGTTTCATGACAATACCTAAAATTCATAATGAATTTTGTTTCACATTTAATAGACAAATAAAAATATCTCTTATAGCATTATAAGTTTTTTTTTCAATTATTATGTTAAAATGATTAATATAAGTACTTTATAATTTAAATAATTAGTGAAGTCATAAATAGATCACAGATTCAGAGGAACATAAAAATTTCTAAACTTTCAGACTATGTTGCTCAAGATACCACATTTTTCTAATTCAAAAAGTAACATTATAAAAATTACAATACTTACATCCAGGAGATGCTGAAGAGCTATCTATAGCTGTTTCAATAACTTTAAGTAGTAATATACATGGCAATTGGTATCGTAGATTGCATACTAAACAACTACCCTTGTCTTCTAGATTATCAGTTATTTCTCGTTCATTTTTATTGTATATTATGAGATGACATGGCTTGGTTACTTTGAAGAACTAAAAAATATTGTGCATTGAAAACAGCGATTTTATAGTTTATTTATTTTCTAATAATAATTACTTCAATAGCCATTGATTTTAGTTGTTCAACACTGGTGGTTCTGCTACAGTCAAATTGCCAAGTTTGCATACCTGAATCAAGTGATTCAGCTAAATGAACAACTACTTTAACCACATCACGCTCTCTCTCTTTCATCTGACGATCCTCTTCTGCTTTTTTTTCTAACAAATTATGAAGGTCCTTCAAACATAATTACTTTTGTTAAATTGTGAAATCAAAATTTTAAATACCAATTTACTTTTAAATGAGGTGGAAATTCATCTTGATTCATTGCATTCTTATTTCTTCTCTGATCTATTTGCCTATACATCAACATATAAGCATTTGTGCTAGAAGTATATTGACCAGAATAATAACCTCTGACAGGCCCCCCTCCATAACTTCTTTCAATGTCATCCATAGTAATCTGTAAAAATATTATTACAAATATTCCTCTTATGATATTTTAAACTTATACTCACAATGGAAACTGATTGATCGTTGAAACAAAGCCATTGGTCAGATTTGAAATCTTTTATATAAGCATAGTAATGTCCTCCAGAAGCACTACCAGAATGTATCATAATTGCATAAAGCTCATAAATATATGGTCCAGGTGTTTCATTTTCAGAATTAATATCTGCTCCACGTTTATCATAATGTCTATGTTGAGTTACATCAATACCTTCATCCTCATCCTAGTGAATATTTTTATTTATTATACAATAACTTAGAATTTTCAAGTAATCAAAAACTATACCTGATCAATTTCATCTAATGCTGATGAACTATCTGTTCCAGTGTAACTACTATCATCACATTTGCTATTAGAACCAAATAATTCTTCAGGAAACCCTTCAGACAGCACTTCATCTTTATCTATACCATTTTTATTATTTGAAACAAATCTATTGACATTTAATTTCAAAGGAAATTCAACCCTAAATAAAAAATTTCTTAAAAACTTGTCTACTAATTTTTAAAATAAACTTATTAATTTAAAAGATAATTTGATTTAGAAATTTTAAAACTAGTATTCATGAATAATAACTTTTATTATAATTTAAACTCAACTAAATTATACTAATATCTACCAACAAATATAGTCAATATACACATACTTGTCATTAAGTTTAATTCGGTACATGGTATTGTAGTCAAAATCAAACCGCTTTAAGTGCAATGTCATTATATATGGAAATTTGCTAAATTTAAGGCCTTTATGTGCATTACACTTCTTATTACAACGTTCACAAAAATATTGATTATTACCATCTAAAGTTTCAGGTTGTGTGAAACCTCGTAAAGCTTCCATCTAGTAAATAAAAAAGTTTTTTAGACAATTACTTACAAATGATTTTATATACTAACAATAGTTCCATAAGCATTAGTACTTCCAAATGGACGAATAGGCAATGGTATGTCTAAGAATGCATCTTCTCTAGACTTCTCAATACCACATTCTTGGCATTTAACATAATCGATCATTTTACCTACAAAATTAATCATATCAAATTATTTCATTAATATTGTAATACAGAATAACCCATTATAATATGACACTTTTTACACACGGAAAAAAATTCATAACTAAGGTATTGTCTCAACATATCATACTATTAAGCTACTGTGCAATTATCATTCTAATTTTAATAACCTTTAGTTAGACTTATAATGTGGTGTAATTGAAACATATCAGTATTACAAACAATTTTAATCATAAAATTACACATTATCAATTTTTAATGGATTATAATTTTACTAAAATTAATACAATTCATTTAAAATAAAAAAATGTTATTTAAGTTTCATCTGTTGCATGTTAAATTGGAAAATTAGATAAAATAAATAACACCGAAGTACTAGTATTGTTAAGAGGATTACCTTCATAAAGTTGATTTATAAGGTCCACATGAGTGGTGTTTTTAAATTCTTGTTCAAGAGCATCAAACATTACTCTACATAGTTCTTGAACATCATGTTGTTGCCATGCTTCACTAGAATCCCATCCAAAACTGCGAGTGAGTTCTGTAGTTTCAATACTAAGACGTGGCGATGTCTAAAAAACATGAATTAAGTTATAAAGATTATAGAAAGTATAACTTTTATAGTTAAAAAACTACCACTAAATAGGCTAGCTTGGAGTAGTTAAATTTTTTACAGAAGTCATCACTTAATTTTTATCAACAAATATTTTGTTTTTTAACAATACTAGTTAACATTTTACTAGTGTTGTACATTGATACCACTTAAATAATTAGATAGAATAGTTAGAACAGTTAAATAGACATTTAACTGCCCCGGGTTTAACCACCACCCTAAGTTGGCCCATTTGACAATAACGAAAACCCTACAAAGAGTTAATCAATTACACAAAATAATATGAATAAATGGGTTGAAATATCTAACATAAAATAAATATATTACAGAATAGCTCATTCTTATTCATTTAATACATTAAAAAAAAGAAATTAACCAACTTGAAGGTTTAAAAACAGTTTTTGAAGTTGAAAAGGTATAGACTTTGCTTCATCAGTATTAGTATTAAAATCAAATTTCCACATATACAGTGCATTTCTAAATTCTGGTGTCATATACAAAGCTTGTAGCAAACTGTTTAAATAGCACGTCATTGCTTGATTAACCAGACCCCTAAAACCTGCCAACATAATAATAAAAATAAATAAATAAATAAATAAAGAGGTTTATAAAATAGAAATAATATCTAATTTCAATTTTTTTTTATGTATATTATTTCTGTATACCTTAAATAACTTCAATGAAGGTTTTTTAGTTTTTAGGCAAGTTTTAATTTAAGGTTAACAAATGAAGCTTATGAACTTTTTTCTTTATTAGGGGCCACATTCATCATTTATAATTATAAACGATTATGATAATAAATTAATATGATTTATAAATAAATAAATTATATAAATCCACTTTATAAGTAAAATGAACTATTTATTTTATTTAAAAAAAAACTATAGCACAATAAACATAAAAAACCACAGTGTGGTAGACAGAAATGTGACAAGTATAGATGATATCCAACAGTGATAAAATCACTATTATGAAAAATGGTTTGATGCTAAAATTTATAGTGTTTAATTAAAAAAAAAATTTTTTGAATCACTCCAAAAGCAACATCAACTCCTATTTAATCCTTAATTAAATCCTGATTACTAGTTTTACATTTTGTAAATATAATAGATAAATAAATACATTTTATAGAAATTAAACGTAGTATGAAATTTATATTCAATATTGTGCAGTAATTTTCTTGGAGAAATTACAATGTAGCAGTTCTAAATCTTTGTATATTACTTTTCTCATATAGTAATGGTGTGACATAATCACTAAAATAGATAAAAAATAATAGTAATACAAAAATTGGGGATTTTTTTTACCTAAAAATTGTATTTTTTATTTAATTTTGAAGATAAGTTTTAAGAAAAAATTTTTTAAACTTATATTACATAAACTTAATTAAATAAATTGTTTATAGTACACAGGATTTACAAAGTATTTTCAAAATTTAAGTTGAAAAATTAAATTTAATGTGGAAATTTCACTATTTTGAATTCTAATATAGGTAGGAATAAAGCTTGAATAAAAAAAATATATTAAATGAAAGGTCATATCTAAAGTATTATTAAAAAAGTTATAAAGGATTTCAATTAAAATAGTTAAAAAAAAAAAAATAAAGAATTAGAACGTTTGGTTTTCTAACCTCTTAATATGCCAATAGAGTTGACACACTTAATTAAAAACCCTATCATGTAAGTTTTCGAATAACAATTTATTTAACTTTTATAAAATTTGCGATTTATGTACATAAATTGTACTTTTTTCTTTAACTTTGATGTCAGTTTACATTTTAGAAATAAGTCCAGATATCAAAATTTTTTTTTCGAAATTAATATTACATGATTTTTAAATTAAGATATATGAAAAAGCGAAGGTATTTCCGAAATATTTTCAAAAGTAAAGTTTAAAAGTTTTACATTTTATACGCATGTTTCAAGTTTAGAATTCACTATAGAATACAAAAGGTCACGTTATTAAATAAGGTATATCAAATGAAAGGGACATACTTAAAGTACTCATAAAAAAATCTGTATTGATTAATTAATTTTTCAACAAATTATAACAATATAAAGTTGAAATTGAAGATGAAACTCGATCATTTTTACAAAAAAATTATATACATTTTTTTTACCGGTAGCGGTTTGCAACACAAAGAAAAGTTTAGAGATCAATTTTTTTAAATTCTTAATCAAATTTATTACATAAAATTAAATTTAAGATTTATTTGAATAAGTTATGATTTTCGGAACATTTTCAAAGTTGCAAAAGTTGCTATTTTTAAATCACTTCTATGGCAAAGAGTTAGATTTTCAAAAATAATTTAAGTTATTAAAGAGGCATATTTAAGGTATAATAAAATTTTTTTTTGGACTCATCCATCTTTCAAAAAGTTATGGTAATTTTAAGTACAATTAGCCTATTTCAAAAGTTGTAATTTTCAGGGGATTCCGCCTATTTATTGGTAGATAAGAAAACTTTTTCAATTTTTGAAGTGATGACTTTAATTAAATACGATTTACGAACTTTTGACATATTGTTAGAGAAAATCGATCTAGTATAAGCTGAGAACTTATAGAATCAGTTACAAATAAAAATACGTCCTAGTATATTAATACCTTATCAGCTTCGAACCAAAGCTAAAATTAAAATATTTTCAGTAACAAAAAAAAATGTCTAAAAATTATTTGATAATACATGTAATACAATTTCATGTAATATATCTGTAATTCTACTTGTTTGTTAAGTATAAGAAAAAAGTTGTAAATATTAATATTTTGAAAATCGATAAAATTTTATGTATACAGTAATTTATTAAATAAACTGTTGGATTTATAAAAAAAAATGGTAAGTACTCAATTTGTAAAAAGTATTTATATCTACAACTTACATTCTATGTTTTTTTTCTGCGAGTACTGGTCCAAAAGTTGCTATGGACCAGTCATAGTCTTAATTACATCATTATTTATTAAATAGGCCAGTAAATTATATACGTTTAAAAAAAACCCAACACAGTGGGGATGTGGCATATTTGGGTCCAGTATAGATTTAATCTGATAGTGATTAAAATCACTATCATTAGAAACACGCTTCGATGCAAATCTGTAGATAGTGTTTAATTCTAAGAAATTGATGGATAATTACAAAAGCAAAATATTTTTAATTATATATTATATAATTTTTATAATTAATTCTTTTCAAATTATTTTTGATTTTGATTTTTAATATGTTAAAAGTAATAATTTCTAACCTACTTTTTTTCGTCCTTTAAAGTGAAAGTTTATAATTAAAAAAAATGAATTTATTTTTATAACTTTTAGCTAAACTTACAAATTTGAAATTGAATACATTTAATAGAAAAAAACGAAATTGTTAAGATTAATATGCAGTCAGCAAATTTCATAATTACTATTTACAGTAAATTTATCAGAAAACCTCAATATTTTTTTGTATTTTTATCGTAATAGATAACTTAAATAGAAATAATAGTAATCATTTCCTAATAACTTTTAGTGTTTAAAAAGATTCTACTATTGAAATATGAACTGTATTAATTTTAATGATTTACATTAACTAAAATAACTAATAAAAAAAAAGTTGTTAAAAAGATCTACTCAATTGAGCGTATTATAAAATTTGATTATAATTGTAAAAATCTATTATTAATTCAGGAGAAACTAACAATCATTTTTTTTAGAAATGATTTATATAGCAACATGTAAACAAAAAATTTGGAATTTTATAGTCTAATAGTAGCACACACAAATTGAGTAAAAAAATTAATAAATTACAAAGTAAAATTATTTACTTTTGCAGTTCAATACTTTTATCATATCAAATCTAATTCGACAATAAATTCATTAAAAATATTAGAAATTAATCATTTTAATTGTTTATATGCATAAAGCTGTTTAAGGTACTTTTTATTTGATTAAGGAATTTTTAAAGGACGCATTATTTCCGGAACATTTTCAAAAGTTAAGTTGAAAAAGCTGAACTTTTTGTAAAAAAGTTGCTATTTTATATCCCCCCCTGTGAGCAGGTTAAATATTAGATTTTCAAACAAATTATATCGAATGAAAGGGAAATATCTAAAGTTTCAATAAAAAAAAAAATAAAGTTATTTTGTTAATTTTTAAAAAAGTTATGGTAGTTATAAGAAAAAATTACGAAATTTCCCGATTTGAAAAATTGTAATTTTTTTGGAAATTTTCCCCATTTACGGGGAACGAGGGAATTATTTTAAATTTTTAAGGGTAATGTCTTCAACTAGATACGATTTTTGATCTTTTGACATATTGTTCATCAAAACGGTCCTGTGAGAGTTGAGGAAAAATGGACACAAAAAAAAACACATCATGGTAAAATTAATATCTTCTCAGCTAAGCATCGAAGCTAAAAAGACAATATACATAGACATTTACAAAGGATAATTCTAAAAAGTAATTTATAGATGATAAATTATTTTATGATAAACCTATAATATTATATATATATATATTCACCCATTTTTGGTAAAAATGTATGTTAATTTAAATACCAAGTAAAAACAGTTAATGGTTATTTTATTGATTATAATTCATATTAAAATTATACTTTGTTAATTATCGTTAATTTAAAAATAATAGATCATTCTATACCTGTATGAGTTTTTTTTGTAGATCGGCTGTATACCATACTTGTCGATGGCAAGGTAAGCATTGACATTGGTGAAGATGGATATAACACATTATTTTCAACTACTGAAGTTGCATCTAAACCATTTCTACGAACTGAATTCATTTTTGAATATAGACCTTCAGCTTTTATATCTTGTGTCGGTGAACATGATTTCGAAGAAGTATCATTTTCAGTGCTATCAAATGAACTACTGGTTGTAACTTTAAAACGGTTTTTGACACCTTGACGATATACTACACCAATGTCACTAAGAAGTCTGCTATCATCTTCAGTTATATCATTCTAATTAATAAAACTTCAATTAGTTCATACTTTATAATAAAATTTGTATATAACTAATGAAAATTGTTTATTAATACTATACAACAACAGTACATTACATACAACAGTAAAAAGTTAGTAAATAATTTATCCTGCGTAAAATAACAAATTGATAAGCAAAAATGTATTATTTTATCTTTCAAATTTTTTACCATTTTAAATGAGAAAAAAATTTAATGTAAGGTATCTTGAATTATTAAACAATTATTATTATTTCATACTTCTTGAGAATTCTAAACTAAATTCTAATAAAATTTAATACAGCGATCTGATATTTTCAATATTTGAAGCTAAAATTTTCTATTTAACTAAAACAAACTGATTATGCCGTTTTGGAGATATAATTGATTTGGTGGTTAAGTGTAAATTAATTAATTTTTTTGTTAACTCGATAAAATAAAATGTAGCCAGCAATTTTTAACTTTTAAAAAATATTGTACATTATTAAAAAAAATGTTATTTTCATTTTTAAGTTATTACTATGAAATATAATAATATGTTCTACGCCAGAAACTTTTAGTGGACTGTACTCAATAACTTCTCAAAGTTTCATGGCCAGCGAATCAATTGTGTAATAGTATTCGTCAATGATACATTTTTGAAATTCGATAGAGTACTGAATTTCAGCGATATTAAATTGCCATAGGGTCATTCCATGTAAAATCACCTAATGTGTGTGCTGCTACTATTCAGAAATTTTTGGAAATTTTATCATAGACTTCTTAAAGGTCATTGACAACAAAAATAATTTTATTTATTTTAGCTTCAATGCGATGCCGAGAAGGTATTGGTTTTACTAAGATGTGATTATCTTTTTTTTTTTTTGTGTGTCTATTACCACTTTTTCTCAGCTCTCACCGAACGGATTTCTTTCAACGATACGTCAAAATATCACAAATCGTATCTAGTCGAAGACATTACTCTCAAAAATTGAAAAAATTTCCCTCGTTCCCCGTAAATGGGGGAAACCTCAAAAAAATTACAAATTTAAAAATCGCTAATTTTCGAAATTTTTTCAATTTTTTTTACTAAGAACTGCCGTAACTTTTTCAAAAATGAACATATCAATATAATTATTTTTTTAAAGATGCTTGATGTTTATACCTATCATTTGGTATATTTTTTTTGTAAATCTGACACTTAACCTGCACACAGAGGGGGATTTAAAGTTACAACTTTTCACAAAAAATTAACTTTTTCAATTTAACTTTTGAAAATGTTCCAGAAGGTCTGACACTTTTATATATATATATCTTAAATTAAAGATAATGTAATATACTTTATTATGGAAAAAAAAAATTTGACCTCTGGACTTGTCTTCATGGTGAAAACGGCTACCGAATGCTATTTTTTGTGAAAATTCTCGATTTTATATTTTACATTTTTTACTTTAAAATGCTATAACTTTTAAAAAAATGTATAGATCAATACAATTTTTTCATGAGAGGTAGTATTTATATACATCTTTCATTTGACATACTTTTTTTTTTAAACCAGACCATTTCCCTATATACGTGGGGCTTCAAATATAAAAAATGCATATAGAAAGTAGAACTTTTTCAACTTAACTTTTGAAAATGTTCCGGAAAGTCTGACACTTTTATATATATATATCTTAAATTAAAGATAATGTAATATACTTTATTATGGAAAAAAAAAATTTGACCTCTGGACTTGTCTTCATGGTGAAAATGGCTACCAAATGCTATTTTTTGTGAAAATTCTCGATTTTATATTTTACATTTTTTACTTTAAAATGCTATAACTTTTAAAAAAATGTATAGATCAATACAATTTTTTCATGAGAGGTAGTATTTATATACATCTTTCATTTGACATACTTTTTTTTTTAAACCAGACCATTTCCCTATATACGTGGGGCTTCAAATATAAAAAATGCATATAGAAAGTAGAACTTTTTCAACTTAACTTTTGAAAATGTTCCGGAAAGTCTGACACTTTTATATATATATNATTAACTTTTTCAATTTAACTTTTGAAAATGTTCCAGAAGGTCTGACACTTTTATATATATCTTAAATTAAAGCTAATGTAATGTACTTTTATCATGAAAAAAAAAATTGACCTCTGTACTTGTTTTCATGGTGAAAATGGCTACCAAATGCTATTTTTTGTGAAAATTCTCGATTTTACTTTTTACATTTTAAAATTTATAATGCTATAACGTATTGAAAAGTGTATGGTTCAACACAATTTTTTCATGAGAAATAATATTTTTTAATAATCCCATTTTTCATTCAGGATATTAAGAAGAAAATAGCAGATCATGTAGCTTTTGAAATAATCCACCAATTTTTTAAAATTAAACACTATCTAAAGATTTCATCGAAGCGTTTTCCACTGTGCCGCGACCCCCCTGTGCTGGTTTTTTTTTATTGTTTGAGCTTCAAATTTTGTTATTAAAATACTGCAAAATTAAAAAAATACTACACGGTAGCACAGTGGGGTTACGGCACAGTATGAGGGTGGCATAGTTGGGACAAGTATAGATGATATCTGACAGTGATTAAAATCACTATCATAAGAAACGCTTCGATGCAAATCTGTAGATAGTGTTTAATTTTAAGAAATTGGTAGATTATTTTTAAGCAACAATTAAAATTAAGGGAATAAGAGTTATTCTCTTAATTTTATCCCGATTAGTTATTTGATTTATAACTATAATATATGAATAAATGATAATTATAGTAATATAATTAGTATGAAATTGATATTCAATAATTTAATATTGTAATTTTTACGGAGATAATATAAAAATAATAAAGTAGTTGTATATTTCTTTACTTTTAACGCGTATAAAAATTTAAAGGACTTGATGCAATACTTTTTTACAAAAAAATTTTTTGTTACTTATAACAAAGTTATAAGTTTTATGCACTGAACTACAAGGAACTTTATTAGTAACAAAAATATACTTTTCGCGATGTTTTCAAATGTGCAATTAGATTTTTTCTATCACTTCTAAGTTTTAATATTATTACTTATTATTAAAAAATAAGTAATTACATATAAAAAAATTAATAAGAACAAAAAAAAATTGAACTTGATTCGTCAATAAATACTTTGAAAACATTATAAATAAATGATTTTAATTGTCTGTATAGAGAACATGGGATAAGTAACTGTTTAATTGAATTTTTAAATTAGAATTTTTTTTCAATTTATGAGGGCAATATCTTCACCTACATATAAATTGTAATTAATTGACGTTGAAAAAAGTAGGTCAAGTTAGAGCAGAGAAAATAAATGATAGTCATATAATTACCTTCTCAGATTTGCATCAAAGCTAAAACCTAAAATATAGTAATATAAATATGAATAAGAAATTTCTTCTCCCGAGGGACGACTACATTGAAGTTTTTGAATCTAAANGGCGACTACATTGAAGTTATTGAATCTAAATTAGATAAAAATCATAGGAATTGAACATTTATTCTAACTTAAAAAGAATTAAGAAAAACATTCAAAATATTCCTTGCCATTCGCGGATTGGAAACTTGAACCCCCCAAGCGCGTAATATACAAGTGCTACCGACTCGGCAACCATAAGTCGCTTCCGTCGACTAAAAAAAATGGTAATTTAAGCTAGTTCAAATTTTAAAGTTATATTTCTCGACTTAAAAAAATCAAAAAAATTTAAATAAGTTTAATTATCTATGCTTTATCAATTTGATTTATGTAATATTTATGAAAATCAGTGTACTCCCCTTACACTGCGACTGACCCCAGTACATTTTTAAAATGCAATAACTTCTGAAATACTAGTAAAATGGTACTTTATACTATTATTAATTGTACAATAATTTATTTTAAGTATTCGTTAATTATCTTCTTATTATAATTAAGTGCACTTAATAAAAATTTTAGATAGAACTAATCGAATATTTTTTGAAATCATTCGCTAGTCCATTCGAATATTTTTTAAAACTATTCGATAGTTTATTCGAATAGTTTTAAAAACTATCGAATACTATTCGATAGTTTAAAATATTCGAAAATGCCCATCACTAGTTTTGACCAGTTGTCGCAGTATATCTTCTAATTTTAAAATTTCTTTTTATAATTCTCCTCGTACATTACTTCGTAAAAAACAATGTTATAATAAAAAACCTAATCTAAGAATAGAATTTTGTATGAATAAATATCATTTTTCGTCTTATCTCAATTTTATAAAGGTTCAGTAAGTACGGAAACGGATTTCTATTGTTTTAATTGTTAATAACAATTGATCAGTTTCCTTACTTACTGAACACTGTATATTTAATAATATATTTTAATACAAAAAATATTAACAAGATTATCAAGAAATGTTATAAGCCTAATATGAAATAATATATATACTTTATAACAGTGACCAAAATTCAAACAGTTTTTTTTTCGGTTATTGCGATATTTTAAAAATAATTGATATCATGGAAAAATGAAAAAAATTGGCAATATTGATATCGTTGACGAACACTATTGTGTAATAATGCGCAAAAGAACAGATAATTATACATTTGTTTTTACATGTAGATAAATATTATAATTTAGTATTTAAATATAAATATTAAAAGTTAAACATAGTCGGTACCCAGCATAGTGTAGTTGTTGCATTTGCTTTAGATTAGTACTGATTAATAGTGATTAAAATCACGGTAGTAAAACGTTTCAATGCGTATACTAATTTCCAACAAATTTTCTTTCCGCGGAAAACTTTTATAAACTAAACGTTACCTTTTTATCAGTAAATGTATGGACAGACGCTGAAAATGCTGTTACCCAGCAAACTATGAAAAATAAGATTGAAAATGAATACATTTCGCAGTTGTAATTTAAAAAATTAAAAAGTATCTTATTAATGTTAAAAACTGATTAATTTAATGACGTTGTGATAAATAGTCAAAACATTTTTTTTTTATAAAATTAGTCATAGAATACACACACACGTAATCAAACCTATTATTTATTTATATTTAAATAACAGGAAGATTTTTTTCATAAAAACACTTGTATAATTATTTTTTAAAAGAAAATCCATAAATATATTTTTATAACGTGTATAAATTACGTTTTTGTGTGTTTAATTAAAAATATATTATTTTTATAATACTAAGCGGTTATTTTATTTAAAATATTTATTATATTTATATTTAAGTTATGAAAGATCATTAAAATAAACCCTTAGAATTATACTGTATTATCAAGCGATTTAAAACATTTCATTTTTAAAAAATTATCAATATAATGGATAATTTTTATGTTGAATTTACATTACTTTGTATTTCATCATAAATGTTTTACTATGTGAAACCGGTCATCTATATCTATTAAAAATATCGATTTTATATTTTACATTTTTAACTTTATTATGCTATAACTATTTAAAAAATGTATGTATCAATACAATTTTTTAATGAGAAGTAGTATTTATATAAATCTTTCAATAGACATACTTTTTTTAAAATCGAACCAAATTTGCTTTATACAGGAGGGAGGGTTCAAAACTAAAAAAATGCATTTAGAAAGTTGAACTTTTTCAATTTATCTTTTAAAATGTTCTGGAAATACTGACATTTTTTTATATATTTTAAATTAAAGCTTATGTAATGTAATCTACTATGAAAAAAAAAAATGCGAACTTTATTTTGTCTTCATGGTGAAAATGACTACCGTATTCAAAAATATTTTTGTGTTAAAATTCTCAATTTTGTATTTTATTTTATTTTAAAATACCTTAAAAATGGTATTAATTCTCATTAGATTTTTATCTCAACTTAAATGAATATCAAGGACCCCATCACTATAGTTTCCCCTCGTTTAATGAAATTTCTTATTCATGTTAAAACTATTGTACTAAAATTCTCGATTTTATATTTAAAATTTTTAAATTTATAATGCTATAACTTATTGAAAAGTGTATGGTTCAACACAATTTTTTTATGAGAAATAATAAAATCCCTTTTTCATTTGACATAATTTTTTTTAAATAACACCATTTCCCTTTATATATTATAAATATATATATATATTTATTTATTTATTCAATTCATATATTACACTTATAAATCATAAAACAATAATCAGGATATAAATAAGGAAATAGGAAATCATATAGCTTTTGGAATAATCCATCAATTTTTTTAAATTAAACACTCTACAGATTAATAACGAAATTCTCAAGTTTATTGGCTGTGTTTGAAGAATTTAAAGACCATCTTACTCAAATTAGGTAACTTTTTTTTTTTTTCAGATCTGTAGTTGATCTTAGTTTGTAATCTTTAGATCTTTAGTTTAGAAGGGAAGCGTATAATTTTTTTTCTTACAAAAATTACTGAATAATGAAATAGATGAGTTAAATCTATCAAGTAATAAAATATAATAATTAAAACTCAAAACACTAGAAGTAATTTTATGTTCAAAATAATTCATCTAAATTTATGTCAAACTCATCACTAAATATTTTAATACTATGTGATAATTCATTAACACTTACAAATAATTTGTTGAATTAATTTGTAATTTTATAGTTATTTTTCTATAAATTATTATTTCAAATTCCTCCTCTTTGACTTTTATACATTACAATATTTTATTTTAATGAACGAAAATTAACCTACTTTAACTAATTCAGTAGTCGCTTCCAAATCATAACAATTGAATGTTAAAACAAATGAGTCTGTATTGATGTTGTCAGTTTCACATAGTTGAAAAACTTGTTTGTATAACTGACCAGCAGTTTGGTATTTCTCTACAGTTAAGGGATAAACCTTATTAGACATTTGTACTCGAACAACACAATCAGCTTTATCAGATTCTTCTTGAAGACAGTTTTCAGTTAATACAAATCGATTCATAACATCATCTCCGTAAACTACACCAACATCACATAATAGTTGAGTATCTCCAGCAAGTAATTTAGGCTAAAAATATATAATAAATGTATTAAAATCATAAGTGTAAGGAAATATAAATTACCTTATCATTAGAATCAGAAGAAATATTTGATTTATATGAACTTAAAGTTAAGTAAAATGAATCGAAATCCATATTATAATGGTGAGCTACATTGTGTATAAAGTTAGTAACAGTTTCTTTTTTAGTAACTACACATTCAAATTTATCTAAATCAAATGTTTTGTCATGAGGATTGTCAAATTTTCGTACCAAGCACTTTGCTTGTTCTTTACTTTCTGTATCATCTACTACATTTACCATATTCTTCATTCATATATAAAAAAAATTATACATGTATAAATATTTATTTGTATGATTATATAATATTATATTATAATACATATTAATAAAACTAGTTTAGAGTGAATTACCTTAGTTCAAATATGTATTCCGTCCAAAAAAGGGCAACAATACTTAAAATGCATAAAAAATCATTTTGTTACATTTTTACTGTAAAAAAAAAAAACTATCAGGACAGTATCAAATAACACAGTAAACAGAAATATGTGTAACACACAAATAAGTTATATTTCATTAATGTAATAGTTAGCTGCCGCCAAGTTTCATGCTTCCCACCACTACTCACACTATTTTTATCTCAACAACTATAAGAGAAACTCTTGAATGATGAGATTGTAGACTAAAGAAAATGAGTCATATATTTTATTTTAATTAGAAAAACCTTATTACAAATTAAAATTGTTTAATAACAGTACATTTTATTATTTTAAAGTTTACTAAAATTATAAAAAAAAATCAAAATTTATAATTTATAGATATGGTAGTATCGTTCTATAAAACTTCATCTAATTTCATTTATAAATATTTTTAAAGAAAAAATTATTATTTTAGCTTATTTAAGCACTAATTATAGTAATCTTTAATTTCATAAAATAAATTATAACAAGATTATGGAGCTGTGTGTTAAATAACATATTAAGGAAACCAATGATTTATTTAAAGGTGTTTGACATTTTGCCAAGTCCCAGAAAATAGTTAGTGACGTATTATGGGGTCATAAGGAGTGTCAAAATTAGACTAATCCGAGCAAAATACATGCTAATATAAAATTTACTTGAAATTTTTGCAAAACCATTTTATTTTTAGTTTAACAAAACATATTTATGAAAAAATAATCAAACACAAACAATTTTATATAAACAAATGTTCTGTAAAATATAAAATAATTTGAAATCAGAACAAAATTAGAAAGAAAAACAGTATTAAAATTATAAAAACCTTTAATATAAACGATTAGATTAAACTTAAAGATCATATATCTAATAAAAAAATAATAATAACAATAAAATACTTTTTAATAGCTTTTCTTTTATTGTAACAATTAATATTGAAGTCATTTTAGTAATAATTAGAGCACGGAATTATATGCATTTATACATTTTGTTAAGTTATTCCGAACTCACCATTAGCCTATTTTACACATTTTAATTAAATTACTTGAAAATAGTAATGTGTTTGTATTAATGTTATAATGCCTTCATTATAACATTTTATAATCTTTTTACTCTTCTAAAATGAAAAACATTTCTATAATACAATATAATCCTAAAACAAAATTGTATAAACTTTAGTCTCAAAAAGCTTAAACAAAATTTATAAATGCATATAATTCCATGCTGTAGTAATAATAACTATTATTATTTTAAAGTAAAAAAGATTAATATAAATAAAATGATCATTTTAAAAATAACATTAGTCATAAAATTTAAATTTAAAATATTTAAAACATAAAACTGCAAGTGTATTTGGTAGTTTTTGGGATAATACAAATTTGAATGGTAATCTTAATTATATACATTATCATAAAATTTGAAAAATTAGTAACTTGTGTCATTTCTGAAATGATATATTAAAATTTTTAAATCAGTTGATTTTAATTTTAAAATGTTATTATTAAGCAATAGTGATAAATATTTACTAGGTTTACACTTTTGGCAACAAATATGTTATGTGGGTAAAAATAGTTAAAAAATAAATCATAAAACTATTTTCATAAGTTGAAGAATATGAATATTGGATAAAATAATTAAAATAAATACAATACACATAAAAAATTATTTTTTAAATAAGGAAATAACATTGAAATTGATAACTAGTCAATAAATAAAATATAGAATAGTTGTTACAACTACAAATAGATATTGATGTATATCCACACACAAAATTATAAATTTATACTATAAAAATAGAAGTCTATTGAACAAACTATAAAATAATCAAACTCCATATTAATTTAAGTTAGAGATTCAATAAAATACTGATGAAATTATCTTAGAAAATATAATATAAGTACATACATATATTTATAAACATAAATATAAAGTACAATATTTTTAAAAATTATTATACACAATTAAAAAAACCATCAACATAAATACTTTCACGAATTAAAAAAGGTAAAATGCCAAACTGTGTACTGTGATCATAGAGTAGAATAAAAGCTTCAAAAAATTATATAATTATACATAACAAAAAAAAATTGATTTAACTTAAATGTGTACTCACCATTTCTCTTTCTTTTTATCGCATATCAAATTGTTAGAATACATAAATTATTATTTTAATTACTGGTTACAATAAAACAAAGTCTTGGAATACAACTTATAATGATCAAATATTGAAGTTAAAATAAAAAAAATTATAAATTACTAATAAAACTTGAAGTTTTTAGGTTCATTTCAATTAGTAGAAATATACTTATCATTCAGAAATAACCTTCATGCGTGGAAGAAAAACTAGAGATACTAGCGGGAAAATGGTTATTGGAAAATAATTAGAGGTAGTTTACAAAACAAGACGGATAACTTAATCAACTTATATTATCAAGAATTCAGTAATTTAATTCATAACATTTACATAAATGTTACTTGTCCTTAATACACCTATTTTCTAATAGTATAAGACGGTACAATTTAATTTATTTTCAAATATATCATCTTCTTAAAAAATATATTTCTTCTCTTATCATAGTAAATCAAAATGTCGATTTTGAATAATGTGTCGTTTTTGACACATTTAACCATCGAAATATTATTTTATATATTTGGTATTTTTTTAATGAAAATTTTCTTTATTCAATAAGAATATTGTTAAACGACATATTAATCAACAAGAAAAAACTAATAAAGGAGTCATGAACAGGGATGTATCCAGAGAGGGGTATTGGATGCATGAGTAACACTGAAATATGAAGTAATGTAAATTATAGATTTAAAGACCTTATTTTTTGCTCATTCAAATAAATAAAAAATAACAATGCATAAAAATAGAAAAAACTTTTTTCACAAGCAAAGTAAAAAGGTTATTGCGGCGGCACAATTCCTAAATACGACCCTGGCCATGGACGAGCGCGTGGTACTTTTTATGCCTGTAAAATATTTGGCTTAGTTTGAACACTTAATTCAATCAAATTATTAGAGATAGATCTCTCCATTTTGTCTCCCCTCTTATATTTAAACCCATTTGACTGATAAGTATAAAACATAAACAAAAAATTATATATTCATATATAAAAAAAAATTATCATTCTATTTACAGATAGTAGACGTTAATAAAAAAATGTTGGAGTTCTTGTTGTCTCTCAGCAATATAGATTAATTCCAAAATGATGATCGAACAATTAGTTAATGAGTTGTTGCTCAGAAACACTGACCCAATATCTACTTTAATTAATAAAATATATTTCAATATTAATGTGTCACATAATAATGATTAATAACAAATATGTACTTTCAACAGACCCGGATTATACCTATTTGGAACACTTGAGTCCCCTGGATGTCACACCTACTATTAGACAAAATTTAATATCTTTAGTTGGTAATTTTTTAATATAAGAGGATACTACCAAAAAATAATTAATAAAAATACGTAGCACAAATTGAAAAAATATGATATTCAATTTACAAAAATAAAATGTTTTCCTCCTTCATATATTTATCTTCAGAACTGTCGCAGCGGGGCTAGATTTTTTAATGGGTTCCATTAAAAGTATCTTCATAATATTTTTTAGCTTCGATGCGAAGCTGAGAAGGTATTGGTTTTACTAAGATGTGTTTTTTTTTTGTGTCTGTTACCACTTTTTCTCAGCTCTCACCGAACCGATTTCTTTCAATGATACGTCAAAATATCACAAATCGTATCTAGTCGAAGACATTACTCTCAAAAATTGAAAAAATTTCCCTCGTTCCCCGTAAATGGGGGAAACCTCCAAAAAAATTACAAATTTAAAAATCGCTAATTTTCGACGTTTTTTCAATTTTTTTTACTTAAAATTGTTATAACATTTTTAAAAATAACCGAATCAATATAACTTTTTTTTATATAGATGCATGATGTCTTTACCTATCATTTGGTATATTTTTTTTTCATATCTGACCCATTACCTGCCCACAGGGAGGGATATAAAATGACAACTTTTTCACAAAAAATATAATTTTTCAACTTGATTTTTGAAAATATTCCGGAAGGTCTGACACTTTTATATATATCTTAAATTAAAGCTAATGTAATATTCTTTATTATGAAAAAAAAAAATTTCGGACTTTATTTTATCTTCACGGTGAAAATGGCTACCGAATGCTACTATTGTGTGAAAATTCTCGATTTTATATTTTACATTTTTAACTTTATAATGCTATGACATATTGAAAAGTGTATGGATCAACATTATTTTTTTATGAGAAATAATATTTTTTAATAATCCCTTTTTCATTCTGCATACTTCATCTTAATTAGGATATTAATAATGAACTAGCAGATCATGTAGCTTTTGGAATAATCCACCAATATTTTAAAATTAAACACTATCTAAAGATTTGCATCGAAAAGTTTTTTTTTTGATAGTGATTTTAATCACTGTCAGATATTATTATACTTAATCCATCTATGCCACGTCACCACTGTGCCGCGACCCCCCTGTGCTGGATTTTTTTTTTTTGTAAAACAATATTTTTTAAAACAACATAAATAAAAACGGCATATGATAAAAAAAATAATAATAATAATAAATTACCATTTTAAAACTATTTTACCAATTAAGCCGAAAAAAGACTAGATTTTTTCTTTGTACATCGCCATTTGTTGTGGGCCCAGCTCATATCAAATAATCCACGTGAAGCCAAACCCTCACAAGTCAATAATAGGTCTTGACTACCAATTTATTCATTTCCCTTATAAATAATGCAATGTAAAAGAATATTGCCAAATAAGATCCTATTTTTTATTTAAATGTCTTGAAAAAAATTAAATAATTTTGAACTTAAAACTTAACAATTTTTTTTTTATCATACGCTTATGTTCCTTTATTAGTGATTAATATAAATATAAGTAAACATTTTTATTTACTTTATAAACATTAGATAAAATTATATAAAAAAAGTACAGAAACTCTGATAATTGTTTTGGTTGGATAAAAAGTGATTTTTTAAGTTTTATAAATACAGTTCATTCTTTTTAAAAATCAAATATTTTAATAATAACGATAAAATAAAGTATTGTCCTGAATTTAATACTGTATCAGTATCCTTTAAATTAACTTCTACATCAATTCAAACTTTATGAGTAAAATAATTACATAAGTATAACACATGCTCTATTATATTTAGAACATTTTATTATGTATTCAACTATAATTTAACGCAGGCACTAAAATAAATTTCAGTACATTTCACGGCCAAATCTTGTTCCCCTCCTTTTAATTAATCTGGTACAGAACTAATAAACCAGCCGCACCGTATTTTTACTTAAATAAAATTATTTTTAAATTCCGCTACTTAAAATTTTGTTCATCATAAATTTGAAAAATATATTACACAACCAAAATTGAGCATATTTCACTTAAAATTTTAATCTCTGAAAGTATCGTCATCAATAGTAATCCATTGAATGTATTAATAATTAATACATAATTAACATAATTATTATGTTCGGGAATGTTTTCATTAGAATTACATTTTAGGCAGGCTTAGATTAATTATTAATGAGTCACAGAAGCAAAATTTAGACAAGTTTCCTACAATACTCGGAAAAGGTCCTAACATTTATTGTTAAAAGATTGTAAAAGAAAAAAATGTCGACATGACAATTGTGAGCCAATAATTTTAATTTTTCTAACTGGAAAAAAAATTGATGAAGCGACTTTTTCTAACATAGCGGTGTTTTTAAAAAATGAGCACTAAAAAAAATAAACACAGTTTTGAACCATTTTTATATTTTTAGATATTGTATTCATTATATATATATATATATATATTATATATGAATGCATGAAGCATGTACAGAATATTCTATAACAATAAAAAATTACAATTAAGCTGAATAGAACGCATATACTCAGTGGCGTATTAAGGGTTAAAAGTGCCTCGGAGTAGATTGTATTTGATTTACTAAAATTTTAAGTTCAACAAAAAAAAAGAAAGTTTTTGTTTACATTGAAAGAAAATTTCTAGCTTAAAATACTTAGAACATTCATAAACAATAAAAAAAATTGTAATTAACATTAAATACATTTATACCCAAGTTTTATCGGGTTTATCGGCTAGACACCCTCAAAAGATTTAGAGTCAGATGCTCCAGATAGCCTCTTACGTAGAAACGCCACTGCACGTACTTACATTAATATAGTTTTTTCTTTTTAAGATTCAAAACCCTTCTTTTTTTACAAAATTGACTGAAAGAAATGGATTATTTTTAAGTAGGGGTTAAATTTGTTAAATCTTAATTGGCCAATAATTAAAAAATGAATAATTTGTTAATCTAAATTTAACGATGACTGTTAGAAAACTGATGAATAATTCTTATAAAAATTTGTAAGAACGTTTTTTATAGTAAAAGCTAGCAAATAAAATACTGGTACTTAAGGCTGTATTTAAAGAAAAATTAACGAGCAACATTTTATCAGCAGAATCCATGAATATAGTAAATATTCTCGCTGAAAAAAAAAATAATTCATACATTATTTAAGATTTATTGGATGAAATAATCTATTATTTTTATAAAATGGTCTTAACCAGACTATAAACATATTTCACACATACCTGCATTTGTATATGCAGAAATAGACCAAGTGATCAAACTTATACTATCTGCATTTTTAAATTTTATTATGGTACTCAATTGTAAACATTTACTTGATAACGATATCGGTGTCCCAAGAGGCTAAAAAGACAAAGTCAATTAATTGATGCTAAAACTTTTTAGATTTACAATTTAAATATTTTTAATAAGTTATTAATTAAATGACATACTACTAATACTGTAAGGACGATAGAAGGCAATATTCCTTTTAAAAATGCACAGTATAGTCCCAAGTACAAAACACTCAACACTAAAATCCTGTAATTTAAGCTTTTGTTGTAAAATAACACTATGCCAATGAGTATATACTGTTGAAAAAGTATTATTGGATATTCCATGTATGATATAAGAGAATAACCATTTACGTAGTTGTAACATGCTGTTGTACTAAGGCTGTTAAAAAAAATGTTGACAGAAATTTAGTTATATTAAAAATTAAAAATATACAGAAACAATATTGGCAACTGATAATTTTTTTTCTGTATCTCAACCAAATAGGCTTCGAGGGCCTTTATATACGAGATCTAATGCAGGCTTAACTTTTAAACTAAAAAGTTACATATTTGTATATTTTAGTGAATTTTTATTGTCTTCCAAATTGTTGTTATAATTTTTATTTAATTATAATTTAACACCGTTTTCTATCAAACAGACATAAGTTGAAGATAACACAATTAAGAATTTAACTATAGTATTTAAAAAATGTTCATGAATCATAACGTAGTTCTAGCTGAAATTTAAATATAAAATACACTACTTTTATAATATAAAAATTAATTCATACATTTTTTAAATTAAATATTTCTTAATTTTTGTATGCATTTATTAATTGTTAAACATTTTTTTTTATATTTTAAATTATAATATTTTTAATGATATAAAACTGTGAATAATATTTTCATCCCAATAAATACTAGTGTCTAATGCACCTAAAATGCATTCAGCAAAGTATTAAAGTATTCAGGCCTTCAATGCTTCATCATTCATTCTACAGTTATAACCATCTTACATATATTATAGTATCTTTTTTACTTTTAAATTATTTTGTTGAAACAACTGTTTATTTATGATAAGAAACATTTGGCTTATTTCTTTTAACCAGAATCTCTGTTTGTAAGGTAGTTTTAATTACATCTCTGTATCAGAGGCGTAGTTAAAATTGTCTCGCAAGAACAAGATCAAACATTGTGAAATGGGATCCTAATAATGAGAATGTCAAGTGTGAATGCGGTAAACGTTGAACAAATCTGAACTATGAACCCAAAAAAGTACACCAAAGACAACCTAGTTCAAGTAAACAAGTAAACAAGAAACCTAAAAACGTGGCTACACATTAGCTATAATATATAGAAAAGTGTTCAATAAGTAAGGAAACGGGTTTCTATTGTTCTCATTATTTGTAACAATTGATGTTTCCTTACTTTCTGAACACCTCTATGTATATGACAAAATTACGCACCATTAATATTATTTATTTATCTATTCTGACTTTTATATATACTATTAACATATTCATACATTTATTTATTTATATGTATATTTATTATACAGGGTGTTCAGTAAGTCAGGAAACGGGTTTCTATTGTTCTCATTGTTTGTAAAAATCGACATGTTTCCTTACATACTGAACATTCTGTATATCATATTAATAAATGTGATTTTTGACAATTGAAATCGGACGCAAAGAATTAGATTTGTTCTGTGTATACATATGAAAAATGTTCATTATTCCCTTCAAATGAAAAAAAAATTATAACATCATATTATTATTTTTGTTGTGGAGAAATGATGTCCATTTTCTCTCGTAAATACGACAGTACTTTAAAATGTATTAGAAATAAATTTTTATTTTACTTTATAGTGATATAATATTAAGTGATAGTTATTGCAGTAATACAGGATTCTACAATTTTTATTAGATTTTTTTGATAACAGCCATAATTAATAATAGTCGATTATCAAGACGTTTATGAAAAGAATGAGCTACTAATTATACTTAATTAAAGAAATAATTAACTACTGAAGGTATTTTAGCTTAATGGAGATTATTTTTTTCAATAGTTCTCTATTTCTATTTGTTATTCATTTCAAAAGGAGAGAATAAGAAAAACTTCTCAAACAAATTTAATTTCTATTATTTTATGTTAGGTCAAATTCTGATATCACACTGAATAACTTATTATAAAAAATTTGAGACAGATTTTTGAAATGCATAGTAGCAAACCTTATTTGATGAGTGGAAATGAGAAAAGTCTAAATGCTGAAAGATAAAAAGGTTCTATGTGTTCATAGTTTTAATTCTGTCAATGTTTATATTGTTAAAATATGATTACCTATAGAATCTTAAATAAAACATAATTGTTTTTTATAAAAATAAACAGATTTTTAGTCGATATTTAACATTTATAATACTCAATATTTTTTTTTTGTATAAATAATGTTTCACTTTTACTCATTATTCAATTCTTTAATCAGTATTTTTGGTTCAGAAATTCATAGAAATACTTCCTATCACAGTATACAAATTTTCAAAGCTTATTTAAATTAGTTTAATACTCAGCTCGCATTCATCAAATTTATTAAATGATAATCAAAATTTAAGGTCAAAAACAAAAATATTTTTGCCAAATACTGAACAATTATTTGAAATTATTAAACAACACAAACATTTTATTTAAAAACTATGTAAAAAAAATCTAGCACAATAGGAACAAGAATATATAAATATGATAGTGATATTAATTACTATCATAAAAAACGCTTCAATGCAATTCTGTAGATGATATTTAATTTTCAGAAGTAATTGTTGAATTATTCGAAAAGCAATATGATCTTCTAATTCCTTAAATATATCTTGATTTAATAGTTTTATATATGTGTATAATACATAAATAAACATATTTTGTAGAAATTAAATTTAGTATGAAATTGATAATCAATAATTTAGCATAGTAATTTTCAGGGAGAAATGATTAATTAGCAGTTCTAAAATTCAGACAATTTTTTGTTGAAAATTTCATTTTTTATGGTAGCGTGTTTTGAGATATTAAAAAAAATATTTTTATAAAAATATTAAGGGATTTTTTTCAAATTTTCAGCGTTTATAGGTTCAACTAGATTAAAATCAAGTTCTTAACAAAATCAGTTTCAGTGAGAGACTAGAATTTTCATGGGCATAAGAAAAATATAGTAAAACCAATACCTTCACAGCTTTGCATCAAACTAAAAGTGTTTTTGCTCATAAATTAAAAAATTATAACTTTAAAAAAATAAAAGGTATTACTTTGCCTAATTTCTGGCTAAACAATACCAGAGTATTGAGTTTTTAGAGGGCCCAGGTGGCAATTGCTATTTAATCACCTTAACAGTTCACACTCATTTAGAAGCTTTTCTACCACACTACCTTGTTACCTCCCCTCAAGTTTCCATTTGTAAGAAAATATAGACTTAATTAACAACGAAATAGCACAAAATGTAACAAAAGAAACTAATCAGATAATTCTGATAATTAAAATACAATAGTTCAATCCTAAAAAAGCAGTCAAATTTAGACGTATAAAACTTGACAAATTTATTTTTCTATTTTATCAATTCATTAAAAAGTAATCACAAAAATTATTTATTAATAATGTACTTTGTGTAATTATTTTTCTTTGAATTGGCTTTCCTATAAAATTGAAAAAAATAAAAAGTTATATTTTGCGTGGCATACTTCATTAATGTGTGATTTAATCACAAAAAACAATTAATTACATAGATTAAATAGATTCAGTAAATTTACTAACTGGTACCTAATATAAAAACAACATAAAATAAAAATTTATACATTTTACTACTATAATAAGGCTATATTTGAAAAAAATTTTGAAATAAACGATAACAAGGTTTTAACTTTCATTAAAAATTTTACAATACAACTTTTTAGTGATATTTTAGTTCTTTGTAGTTAAAATTTTAAAATAAATAAAAAATTATATAATTGATTGTTTTGATAAATGCATATTATTCCTTGTAGATGAAACCATTACAATAAAGTATAGAGTCATCAATATAAATAAACCAAAATAATAGAATGATTTTTTTCCCTATAAAAATTTTAACTGTATCTACAGTGAACATAATTTTTTAATTATGTTAAAGAATTCAAAATATAATTTGATCCTCTAATACGAGTAGTACACTATTCAAAAAATAGGTGTATACATTTTTTCATGACATTTAAGTTACAATTAATAAAAAAAGGTATTCTGTTTTTTTTTTTAATTTAATAGCTATCATTGTTTTTCATTTTTATTTGAGGAAAAAAATAAACAAGAAATTTTTTTTCAAACAAATTTCAAGTAATAATTAATTTAAAAGCTAAACAACTAAATAATTTACTTGATAAGATCCAGAAATAGAGAACTTATACTTATACTTCCAGCTTGTTTTTGTTTGTATATCTGTATAATTTGAGGTGCTTTCATGATGACACTCAAAATAATTGTTGTAATACTTAATAAATTCATTAATATAGAAATCATCATATTAAAATTTTTTTTTTTTTAATAAAATTCCTATCTGAAAATAAAATTTAGTATTAAAAGCATTTCATATTTTTATCTTTTACAATGATCTAAAACACAATATGACAATGAAAGTTGAAACAAGTAAATAATAAATGCAAGATGAATTTCCAAAAACATTTACTCAGAAGAAATTGACCCCCGAAAAGAAATCAATTAAAATTTGTCAAATTACAGTAACTATAATTTAAGTTTTAGTTTTGTTCTCCAATTTATTTCGATCTTTTTTTGTGGATTTAATTGATGAAGTTTTGGAATTTAGTCGGCCTTTTTGTTTTTTACTCCACAATTCATGACAATCCTGCCATGTTGGTAATGTTATACAAGTATTGACATCAACATTTGTTAACCAAGAACATTTTAGTGCTTCTGCTGCTGTGATACGTTTATTGGGGTCTAAAGTTAACATTTTATCTAATAAGTCTAGAGCATCATTTCCAATAAATGAATAATGATGTCCAAGTTTTCGACTGTGTAGTTTCTTTTGACTAATAAATTGCCATAAAGGTAATTTGGTAACATCTGGCCAATTAGTAGGACATGGACTGCCACACAGCTGTGATATTAATTCTAATTGATCAAATTCATCTTTACCATGAAACATATTTTTCTTAACAAATAATTCTCCTAAAATATTTTATGAATAGATTAGTGGTAATCAGTATAAATATTATAATATCTTACCTAGAATGCAACCACAAGACCAAATATCTATTGAAGGGCCATATTTCTCTTCTCCCAATAATAACTCTGGTGGCCTATATCGTAATGTAACAACTTTGTTTGTGTACAGACGAATTTGTTCATTGTCAAACAGGCGAGCAAGTCCTAAATCAGCTAATTTTAATTCACCTTTGTTATTGAGGAGAATATTGCTACATTTAATATCTCTATGAATGAAATTTTGTTTATGACAGTAATTTAGTCCTTCTAACAGTTGACGCATTATACTGGCATTATCTTTAGCTGTAAAATTAACCATTCCAGATTCTAATAAACCTGTTAAGTCATGGTCCATATACTCAAAAACTAAATAAAAAGAGCCGCCTCCTTTTTTAAATTCTAAAATATTTTCTTTATCAGTCACTACTTCTTTTAATCTGATAACATTTTTGTGATTTAATTCTCTTAAAATTTTTATTTCTCGGATAGCTGTTATAGGAAAGCCCTCAGATTCATTTTCTAGTCTTACTTTTTTCAAAGCAACAAAATCATTAGATTTTTTTTCTTTAGCTTTGTATACTTGCCCATAAGAACCTTCTCCGATTTGAGAAATAATTTCAAAAAGATCAACATTACGAAGACCTGTTCTACTTAAATTTATATCAGTATAAGATCTTGTGGGGTTTAGAACTATAGGTCTTCTTAAAGTTGGACTTTTTGCTCGTTGCCTTAGAGTATGAATAAAGTCATTTAAAATATTATTTGGAAGACAGTCAGATAAAAAAGAATCATGATTTTCAACTAATACACTGTTTTCTATTTCCTTGGGTTTGGTCATGGATGATTCGTTGGGTAATGGTATGTTTTCGATACCATTTTTCATGTCCATCTGTTTTTTTGACTAGATTATCAACTTGACTAGCAATTTTATCAGGGATGTTTTGATGGAGCCTCAATACCAAGGAACTTGTACAAATGATTATACTGTATTGTATGTATTTAAGAAAGATGTCCATGGACTTAAAAATGAAAAAATGTTTTTGTTTATTTTGATAGCTGACTGTAGATGACTCTACTTTGTTATTTGTAACAAATGCTGTTGACATATCAATTTCTTAACAAACATTTGATTAGCAGGATCCTGAAAAATTGTTAGCTAATTTTTGTTTTTGTACAAAATACTTAACAATTGTAATATAAAATTGATATTTGATAAACACATAAATAATTGGCAAAGACTTGATAATATAAAATGTATAGTATAAATTAGAGATAAGTATCATAAGGAAAACTAAAAATATAATTTATACTTTACAATATAATTCTTAAACAATAACAGTTAAAAATGTTTAATACAAAAAATTACTATCTTATTTCTATAAATTGTACATACTTTTTTTATAATTTTAAAATAAATTCAACACTATGTAATAACATCAATTATTAACAAAGTGATGATTAAATAAGTAATTTGACAAATTTTAATATCATTAAAATCCCAATATTTTTATCGCTGAAATATAAATGAATTCTATGATTACGAAAATTAATGATGATTATATAAGTTCAATAGCATAAAAAAAATAAAATAAAATTACAATTTGTTATCAAGTATTAAATTCAAACAAGCAAAATTAAATGTAATGTAATGCGAAATTTTTATTATTAATAATATTTTTAATGTAAGATATAATTTTCAAGTCAATTACCAATTATTAGTCACTAAATTCATATTTAAAGAAACAAAATGTTAAATTAAGTACAAAAATAGATTTTGTTACTCACTTATACAACTATAGGAAAAATTATCACAGCAAACTATTTTTCTTTAAATAATTATAATAATAATAATAATAATAATATTAATAAAACAATGAAATGAAAGATATTAAATTTTAGCTAATACTAAATGATGTATATAATTACGAAAAGAAAAATTAAACATAAACTTTGAAATAATGTACCCTGGAAAATTCCGGAACTGATAAGACAGAATTGTGTTATCAATAGTAAAATTTTCTATTAAAAAACTAATACTAATAACATTAATATATAAATTCAAAATTTAAAAACGAACAGTATATTTTGGAATAAGATTCTAGTTATTTTAAATTTGTTATTTTTTCATTGTTGTTATACTATTATTTTTGTTTATACGTGAATAATTTATATGTAATAAAAATATTTTTAAACTTAATTTTTATTAGAACTTTTGGACACTGTACTGGGTTTAATATAGTCTTAGAAACTCCAATTATCCAACATGTATGATAAAAATAATAATATTAGAATAATCTAATAGTTTATAATTATGTGATTCATTTATCACGAACCACTTAATTAATCGAAAAATAAATATTATATTAAGAATTTTTTTTTTGTCTCATGTACATATTTCCTCCATTTATTAATCATAAAGAATTTTTTATGTTCATTTCTTACACCTTATTAAGGTGTCAACTTTATATTTTCAAATAGCAACATAATTAATTTGTTCATTTAATAGATATTGATCTAAATAAATATCAATAATAACATAGATCAATATTTCGGAAATTATTAAAATTTTATTCTTATGAAACGCTAGTATTATTATTCTCGTCATTCATCATTTTCTAGTGCACTTATCATGTCATTGACTAAAAGTTAATTATGTTGCAATTTTAAAATGTACAGATTATTATATGATTCGAAATATTAATTTTATTTTTCTATTAATTAAATAGTTGATCACTCTGTTTACATATTTTTTTATATAGAGGTTGAATATTAAATATTGTTCTTGACAAACTTTCAATATAAAAAGTGGCATTATTTTAATTTTCAGTTGCTCGTCTCAGTATAAGCACTTTTCTGACATAAAAATCTATTTTCTAATAAGTAAATTGGCTAATCAAACAAAAAATTTGTTCATAAAAAAACATAAGTAGGGATGACACTATCAAATCATTAATACTTTTAAAATATCAAGTATTGAAAATAAGTAAATTTTTATTTAAAAAAATCTTTGTTTCCTGAACAAAGATCCTAAATAATCAAAAAATATTCATATTAAAAACTATTTAAAACATAATATAAAATTTAAATATAAAATCGACTTAATAGGATTAAGTAAAATGAAGAATATTAACTCAAAAATGAATAAACACTGTTATGCTGTATTTGGTTGTTAGATTTCAAAATTTTTAAAAAATGGTTAAGTTGGATTTTGTTTTAAGCAAGATAATCCAGTAGTTTTTATATTTATTAATATATTTAAAAAAATACATGTTTACTTATAGTTAAATAGTACAAAATAAATATAAATATTAACAAATTAGGATTGAAAATTTCATTACCTTATTTATATGTCTTAATCTAAAAAAAAGTAGGTTATAAAATACAAATAAAAAATGAAATCAGTATTATTAATTTACACATAGGCTACAGAAAAATTAAAATTTTTTAAGTAATAACATTATTAAAAGAGTTAAAGCGAATGAGACAAAATTTTATTTAATTAAAAAATGTCAGTTATATATTATGCTGTTGTCAAAAAATTATAACAAAAATATTTAGAAAGAAAACAATTTTTCTACGAAAATTTACAATAATTAATTTTTAACATAAACTTAAAATATATTTATGAATTTCTAGGATGTTCNATATATATAAACTTATACAATATATTTATGAATTTCTAGGATGTTCACTCTATTGGCTATTATGTTAAAAAAATAACTTATAAGCATAACATGAAAACATCCACTATAAAAAATTTACAAGCTATCAAAACAAAATAATTTTAAAAGTTCAATTTTAATATTTCTGTAGCCTATTAAGATTTAATGCAATAAGGTCATCAAGATGATCACAAAAGCGGTAAGTTAGTAACTAGTAAAAATTTTCACTAAAGTACATTATAACACCATGATTGGTAAGCATTGTATATACAAAAATGACATTGAATAGTTAATGTCAACAATTTTTTTTTTTTATATTATTTACACAATTTTTTTTTTTTTGGTAATGAATGTTCATGATTTTACAGCATCTTTTTTATTTGAGTCATCAGAACTAACAGATTTTTCTTCTTTGTCATCTGAAATATTCATTATTTTTCAATACAATAATAATTTAATAAGTAATAAACTAAAGTTGATATAACTAAAAATTATTTAAAACCTGAAAACACAAGTACCACTAAAAGAAATCTTAATGCTTATCTCTTTTATCCTGTGTGAGGTGTACATACAAATTTAGTTAATATAAATATAAACCTAATAATAAATCTTAAATTAAAAAGCAAACAGACCTAAATAAAAAAAATATTGAACATTATGAAAGTTAGAATTTTTTTACAAAACTTTATAATAAAATAATAAGAATACTAATTGATTTAAGTGTTACATCAATTTTATAGGACATTATATAAAGGTGATCAGTATGTAAGAAAACAGTTTTCTATTGTTCTCATTGTTTGTAACAATTGGCCTGTTTCCTTACTTTTTGAACACTGTATATAATGTAATACATAATTTATTTTTCAAAGTTGTTTGTATATGTGATGCTTAATATATTAGTTTTTATGTTATAATTTAATTCTGCATCATTATTACTATACAAAAATTAGAATTTAATTCAGCTATAATTTTTCAAAAATTGTATGTAAATTTTGATAGTTACCAATTAATAGGTTAGGTTATGTATAAAAACTAAATTATATGATATACTAATAAAACATTAAAATTTCTCGTTTCTGACAGGGAGTGTATCATTGACTTTTCATCATAAAAAAAATTAAATTAATATTAATATAATAATTAAATTAATTAATAATCATGAAAATAAATTTAGGTTTTTAATTTACTTAATTACTTTATGATCAAATTGAATAAATTTATCAATAGTAATATTATTACTAATATTATCAATATAATATAAACAAATAAAAACTACCTTTCATTATATTAAATTCTGGTTCATCAACTTCCATTTTTGTTGAATCTAAACGAGCTTGTTTTCTAGTGGGTGTACCACTTTTATATGAACTGTAAGATAATTTTAAAAATTATTTACAATATAAAATAATATGTTGCAAGGGTATTTCTAACCGGTTATCTTTACGACCACCACCACCAACACCAGCAGCCATTCCTTCATCTTCACTGTCACTAAACTCATTATCAGGCGCAATACGTTTATCTTGCAATGACTGAGGATTTCTATCATCTGGATTAGCTGTATCTTCATCATCAGAATCATGCCGTACAGCATCCTCAGGAATAGCTAAACGTCAATGTAATAAATTATAACCTAACTTAATACCAGAAGTCAAAAGTGCAATGGTGAAAATTTTATAGATAGTTAAGTGTTTTAATTTTTAATAACATTAATTTTAAATATTTAATGATTGAATATTATTTAATAATATATAATTATAGTATGTATAGGTGCACTTTTAAATTTGATTACAGTATTTTATTATATAAAGATATACACTTGAAAATGTTCAGTATTATGAGTTTTTTTTAATAACTATTGATTTTGTGATTACAACTGTGACTACTTTTCTAAAATTTTAGAATAACTGGGTTTAAAGGGTAATTTATTTTATTAACTATGTCTCTAGAAAATATTGTAATTTTGAAATATAAATTTCATGTGAGAGATACTTTAACTTTGCCAGAGAGATAGGATTCTTTGAACATCCATTGGGTGTAACTTGATAGTCCACCTTTTATAAAATGATAAGTATAATGTAATAACACTTAGATGTGTATTTCGAATCAAGACAATTTGGAATAAGATGTGCATGGGCATATGCTTACCACACTAATAACTAAAACTTAACTAAACGTACATTAAATTAAAGCTTATGTAATTTATTTGACCAAACCTTCATTATTTAAAAGGAATCAAACTTTTTTTTTTTTGGCAATATACATATTTAAGTAGTTTACATAATAGAAAATAATCTTATTAAGAAAATGATGATTGGCTGATAACTTTTGACCTATAATTTTAGAAGTTGTTATCATTTTAAAATATAAATTTTATATAAAGTGCAGGCATTATTTCTATCATTAGATATTTTTCTGCTGTCTCCTCCTCCTATTTAGATCGAAAAATGTTGATAAATCCTAAAGTACTGAACCAAAAGTTCTTATCTAGCAATCATTCTTTTAATTTGATTATTTCCCATTCTATAAGCTACTTAAATATGTATATCTCCATAAAGAAATGTTTGTTTCCTTATAAAAATTTAATGATGGACCTAAAAAGTATTTAATGATTGATATATCAAGAATTACATGAAATTGAGTCAGAAAATAATACTAAACATTTGTAAAATTGTAGGAAAAATTAAGTGACTCTTATTCAAATTGCCTAGAATAGAAGACTTTAACTCCCATCTAGTTTATATAATTTCATCTCCTAAGAATTTTCATAACTCTATCTTCATATACATTTGAATTAAAACATTTTATAATAATAGTTTAAATCACTGTTGATTTTAAATCTTAACTGGTTTCAACTATTTCTGGTTTTCATCATGCTATGCTTGTTGACTATAATGGTTTTTTTTTGTTTCTAGAGTAATTTTTTTTATTTATTGGCTTTTTTATTGGTTTGAGTCTAGTTGAGTTGAATATTGATTAATAATGATTTTCTATATAGCCGTTTGGCATAAAAAGCATCCTATGTGCAAAAAATTAAAGTTAACACGTTGACTGCCACTCTTTTTTTGGTGTGTCACCTATAAGTAAATATTTAAATTTAAATGCTGATTGAAGCATTTTAATAAACTGATAATAGAGAATAAGATGATACGGTATTTAGACGGTAACTAATAAGTTATTTGACCCCACGAGTCTTCAAAGATAACATAACAGTGAAAGACTAAATAACCCCTCATGGCTCACTTAAAAATTCTACCGAGGGGCTGAAACGACCCTAATGGCAGTCAATGTGTTAAAAATCTAGATATTCCTAGATTTAGAAAAAAATACAATAAGTAATACATATGATTTCTTGGACATAGGAGACTTTTCATGCCAAATAATGATATATTAATATTTGAACACAAGCTACTTTAGAGGATTTTATGAATTGATAATGTGATAAAACTTCGTACAATGATTAAATTTTTATTACCTTGAATTTGAACACCAGGTGCATGAGGTAGCATTCTTAAATTTTCAAAAAGTCTGTTTTTTATTTTTTCCAAATACTCTGCAGCATTTGTGTTTGTCATGTTAGATGGACTTATGTGAAGTTTAAAATCAGGTCCAAAATATTCAAAATAGTCATTATAAGGAAGTTCATTTGCAATTTCTGCACCTAAAGCTACTGCTGTCTCGTAAGTCCAACACCTAGATACATTTCTGATTGTATAACCTCCTCCACCAACCATTAAAAAAGGCAAACCATAGCGCTTTACAAACTCAACACATTTTCCATGACCTATAATGAGTAAATTTTAATGAAAAATATTTTTTTTAATGAATAAAAATTGTATTTTTTATATTTAACCTTTCACGGTAAGATTAAAACATCCCAGTCTATCCCCAGTTAGTGAATCTGCTCCACATTGCAAAACAACTGCACTAGGTTGAAATGTTTCCATTACTTTGGTAATAATAGGTACAAATATAGATTCATAACTATCGTCATCCATTCCATCTCTTAGTGGAATATTAACGGCATAATATTTTCCTTTTCCAGCTCCAATATCCTACATATTTAAAATTAGTAAAATAAAAAATATAAATAAATAAATTTTTATTTACCCTAAGATCACCAGTTCCAGGGAAGTATTCACCATATTTATGAAATGACACAGTCATTACTCTATCAGTAGTATAAAAAGCTTCTTCAACGCCATCACCATGATGGACATCAATATCTATATATAATACACGTTGATGATATTTGAGCAATTCCAATATACCTAATACAATATCATTAACATAACAAAATCCACTAGCTTCAGATTTTTTCGCATGATGAAGACCACCACCCCAATTAATACATATATCTGCTGATTGTTTATTTAATTTTACAGCTGCAGCAACTGATCCACCAGCAGATAGTTGGCAGAATTCATAGAGTCCATCAAAAACAGGACAATCTTCACCAACATTAACTAAAACAATAGAAAAAATAAAGAAAAAAACTTTAAAAATTAAATTTAAAAAAAGTTAAATATACATCGTTGCATTTGTTTATTATAGTCATTCATGTTGTCTGGTCTAATACTACGAAGAAATCTAATGTATTCATCACTATGAAATTTGGTCATTTCTTCTGCAGTAGCTTTATGAGGTCTCTATATAAATAACAATAGATTGTTAAAAAATTATCCAAAATTAAATTACAATAACAACTTACATAAATTTCCATTTTACGATACAAGCCATAATTTAAAAGTAAATTATGAGTCATTCGAATTCTATGAGGTTTCATTGGATGTCCTTGTCCATAATAATAATTTCCAATGTCACCTTAAAAGCAATTATTATTAATTTTTTATCGAAAATCTGGTAAAATATTTAGTATAGGTAAATTAAAAATATTAAGTGATTTATTTAATTTGATTAAATATCAGTATCCTTTTTTTTTTAAGTAAAATTTGCATCACTTTAAAGTGAAATTGAGCACATAATCAATATTAACAATTCATAAACAAAAATTTTTAATGATTTTTTTTTCCTTGTTATATACAATTTGTATTTTTTTACTGACTTCAATGTAAGAAAAATAAATTAACAACCTGTTTTAATTTTAATGATGATCCCGTGTATAAAAAAAGATTTTTTTGCCAAATTTGTTTAAAGATTTATTTTAATTTATAGCTACCATACTCAAAAAATGTTTAAAGCAAATAGTTTTACTATAGTTTAAAATGTATAACTGAGATAATAACAATTTTTTTTTCAAAATTAAAATTATTTTGTTGCACACCAATCCTATTTTTGTTTTATTAATTTTATACTTAATGGTAGTAGTAATTGTATTGTTGCATTCATACGTTACTAGTTAATGCTCAATGGCTTATCCTCCAGACAAAAAAAAACTTATATACAGTAATCTTTAAATGTTTTAATATTAAATAATGTCCAATAATTAAATTAATAACATGTATTTATAAATCAAAGATTAATTACTGAAACAAAAATAGTTACTACAAATTAGCAACTCAATTATAAAATATATTTGCAAAATTCTATAAACCAAAGAGAACATTTTTTTTTTTAATTATGTGAACCATATAATATATTTCAATATATAACTATGTGTGTTATATCTAAAAGGATAATTTTGAGAATAATTAACGATTAAAATTCGTTATGATAAACTCTACTTATGAAGAAAATTAATAACACATTTAAAAGGTTAATTTTTATTTATCAAATTAAATAATTTAACACTTAATTTACTTACTATCGTAGTAATAGCAAACACGTTTCTTGAATGGAGTAATAGACATCACAAATAAATTACTAACTAAAAAATGATGAATAAATTCAAGTCACAACGTTGACTGACAGCCCAAAAGCGCGGGCCAACTTAATAAAATATTCTTTTTTCAGAAATTTTTTATCAATACACACGCTGCTAAACAATTTTTATATCTAACTCAATATTATTGCAATAATAAGACACAATACGTTCTTTAGAGCACGAAATTATTCCGTAACAAGTTTGAATGTTAATTACAAGAGGAAAGCTCGCAAATATCAGAACTTACGTTCTAAAAATTAAAACCTAAATAGGTACCAAAAAATTTAAAGAACTAATGGGTCAATTCATACTTCAATACTCCGGTCTCCGTGTTCCGAATACAAGCCAATGGAATAGCCAGTAAACAAACAAACGCCATTTAGATAAACAGTGTGGCCACATATCTAATACAATTTCCTAAATTCAAGTGATAGATCATATCTTTTAAATAGTATCTATTATAGATAGTATATGCATTATATTATAATATAGAAACTAGACGTAATAGAATACTGTTTCTAGCATCATTTATTATTGTCAAAGACATCATTTTTATTAAAAATTCAATTAATTGTCAATATTAAGTGTACTTGTGCATAGTAGCCAATTGATCTAGTTCGCCAGCATTGTGCTAAGGATAGATTCCAAAACAAATCGTTTTTCTGTTATAGGTCTTTTAAAAATAATAATTAACGACATTATTAATTAAAAAAATACAAATCTAAGATGAAACAATTTTTTGGTGGTTAAAAATTATATATAACTTGAGACAAACTACTTAGTATGTTATTTTTTACACAATTACGACTATTAGAGCTTACAAGAGAATAGATCTATCTTTCGGGGAGCGATATTTCACTTTTTTAAAACCAATTAAGTAGGCCACTAGAAATACAAAGTCCTTAATTGAATGCATTTGTTATTATGCAGTTGAATTACTTGAAAAGTAGTATTTGCTGGCGTAATAGCCAATAATGGTTAATACATTTTTGGTTCCTTTACGTTAAGATTTTGAGGTTATTGAAGGAAAAAATTGGCTAGCTGTTATTGGTAAATTGGTTAAGATTGGTTGGAATTGACCAACTTATTGGTTGAAAAAAAATTACTTCTAAATAAAAAAAAAAGATAAACAAATTTTGAAATGAAACACTTTATTAATAAAGGTCCTCATTTTATAGTTTGCATCCAGACTACTAAATTTAGAAGGTAGGATGCAAACTCAAGAAGTATTAAGTGATAATAGCATAACAATAGAGTTAAATTTTTTTTGTTATAAGTGGTAGTAATTAATACCGATTTAACATTAACGTAGAATTGGTATTGGTTACTATCAGAATTATTATTGTATAAAGTAATGTATAATCGTACTATTTTTTTAAACGTTTTATTTAATTAAAGTAATAATTAGAAAATTAAAAACTTGTTATATCATTTATTAATAGCAGCTGTTGTGTGCACAAGGAGGAGAGAAGCATACGTTCTGTCTATAGAATTATACTGTATACAGGCACGTAGCCAGAAAATGTTTATTGAAGGGGCCAACAATTTTGGGCCCTTGTATCATTTTCCATAATTTGTTTCCCATGAAAAGCTTGTGGGGGGGGCTCCCTCCACTCCACCATAGATAGTATCCCATTCTATGAATCTCTCAAGTTCAAAATTTGTGTTTATTTTTAAAAAATTGATGGATTATTCCAAAAGTTACATGATCTGCTATTTCCTTATTAATAACCTGATTAAGATAAAGTATAACGAATGAAAAAAGGATTATTAAATAATATTATTTCTCATACAAAAATTGTGTTGATCCATACATTTTTCAAAAAGTTAAAAATGTAAAATACAAAATCGAGAATTTTCACACAAAAATAGCATTTGGTAACCATTTTCACCATGAAGACAAAATAAAGTGCGAAATTTTTTTTTACAATAATAAAGTATATTACATTAACTTTAATTTAAGATATATATAAAAGTGTCAGATTTTCCGGAACATTTAAAAAATTTAAGAGGAAAAAGTTAATTTTTTGTGAAAAAGTTGTCATTTTAAATCCACCCCGTGGGCAGGTAAAGGGTCAGATTTATAAAAAAAATATATCCAATGAAAAGTAACGATATCATGCATCTATATAAAAAAGTTATGGCAATTTTAAGTAAAAAAAATTGAAAAAATTTCGAAAATTAGCAATTTTTAAATTTGTAATTTTTTGGGGGGTTTCCCCCATTGACGGGAAACGAGGGAAATTTTTTCAATTTTTGAGGGTAATGTCTTCGACCAGATACGATTTGTGATCTTTTGACGCATCATTGAAAGAAATCGGTTCGGTGAGACNGCGTGATGATCAATGATGCGTCATTATTGAAAGAAATCGGTTCGGTGAGACTGAGAAAAAGTGGTAACAGACATAAAAAAAAAAAATAAAAAAACACATCATAGTAAAACCAATACCTTCTCAGCTTCGCATCGAAGCTAATAAAATAATGATGTGAACATAAGCTGATTTAATTTTTTAACTTTTTAGCTATTAAGAAAAAATAATTTGTACCTAAATACTAATAACGAATAAGTTATAAAAATGTTTAAAATAAATATAAATTATAAACAATGTAAAATTTATTTTATTTAAAATTAAAAACAATCCCTGCCTTTTTTTAGTCATATTTTTATTACAAAAAATTAACAAAACCAAATAAATTATCTATTATAACTACTAAATTATAAAAAAAGAAACAAATTAAAGATAAGATTTATCAAAAAATTTTTCATAGAGTATACTCTATCGAATTTTGTAATCAACTAGATTCTAATCAATGCAGATACTTGGTAGTTTGTTATCATTTATTGTACAAGAGTTAAAAAAAATTTACCTACAACCACGTTTGGAGTAACTGCTATTCCATTTATTTTTACATCTAGAATGTTATCTTGTTCAAATAACGTTTTTTATGAATATAAAAATGAAAATACAGTCATAATAATAACTGTATTACTCAATAGTAATCACAAATTAATAATAATTTCAATGTATATAAGGCCTAGCACGTTTTTGATAATTCGTAAAAATAATTGAATTTTAAATTTGGGGTGGCCGGCCCTGGGCCACATTAAATCTAAGGGGGGCCAGGCCCACCCATGTCTANGTGGCCGGCCCTGGGCCACATTAAATCTAAGGGGGGCCAGGCCCACCCATGTCTACGTGCCTGACTGTATATGTATATAATTCTATCATTCTATACTACCAAACAATCTTGAAGCATACAATGCCTTAGCCAATGATAGCATGATATCCAAAACACAAGGCCATTATTTTAGTTTTTTTTTATTTGTGCTAAAATGCAACATCATTGCAACCTTATGGGGAGGAGGTGTCCTAAGCATAAGATTGGTCTTAGTACCTCACAAAATTTATAGTTTTTTTTTTTTTTACAATCCTCCTCTAAAATTATCTTTATTTAGAGGAGAGAATTATATATATCCTTTAAAAAAATTATCGTCCTACACTAATAAATCATAATAATAGTACAAAATGTATGTGCTTTTGAAAAATATACAAAGTGAAAAAAATTTAACTGACAACTCTTATATAACTTTATTTACAATTAACATTTCATTATAATTTTTTTAAATAATATATTTTGTTTTTATTTTTAGTAATAAAAATATAATTTTTTATTATATAAA